GCTTGCTTGACGGATGGGCTTCAAATCAGGACCGCCGCGCGCACGATTTTGCAATTGCGGAGATGTAATCTCGATCATTGTTAACTAAATTGCACTCGGGTTGTGCAATCAAGCAGCATTCTTGCTGTCGCTCGTGCTGAAAATTGAGGGAAGCACACAAAACAATCGAGAATATTGCCCTCTTGTCTGCTGTGGATACTTCCAACCCTCAACCCAAGCCCTAAATCCAATCAAACGCAAAGCTGTTTGCCAGGCCGGTTCCCGGCCCAGCTAGCAGCACATGCTTGGGACCGCCTTCCCTCATTTGAGGGTGTCGGATGTTTCGGTTTAGGGGTTTAGGGATGTAAATCTGGTTTCCGGCCTCCACTTGGAGTCTGAGCAACAAATCCTTGAAGGCAGCCTTTCGCTTCACAAGGCGATTTTGGGGGGTTTGGGGCTTATTCTGGGAGGTTCCGGGCTCTCCGACTCGTCGCCTTCCGTGCGCGTGTCCTTCAGCACGTTCCTGCGGTCCTTGAGTAGCAGCTGCAGCTTGCGGCTGGCCTCCTGCAGTTCGGTGGCCTGCAGCTTCTCGGAGGCCTCGGAGGGGCGGTTGAGGGAAAAGCCCGGGAGCCGCACAGAAAAGCAAAGGCCGCCTGGATGGAGAGGCGCAGGGCGATAACGGTCAGGAGATGCTCATAGGAGTCCTGGACGTATCTGAATGCAAAGCCTCTCTCTCAACCAGGGACCAAAAACACTCCGATCGGTCCTGAACATCCCTCAATGTCTGCGAGGGCACGAGCAGGGAGGCCGAGATCAGCCTGTCTCAAGCAACAGAGGTTTCTGCGGGGGCCTCCCCCAAGTCCCAAGCGAGGTTGAGCCGGCGCCTCCCTTTGGCGAGCTGCGACCAGAAAGCCGTGTCTGGGAAACTAAAGTTCGAGTCGGCGATGAGCGGGACCAAGTGAACGTCCTCGTACGCCTTGTTCGGGACCGTTCAGGGGTTTCGGCGCTCACACTCGGACAAGCCATGCGAGATTATCGGTGCATAGTCGGTTGAGGTGAAACACATCCAAGACTGTTCGACTCACATTGCGTTAAAAGTTAAGGATTTCGAACATCTTTGGAGTTGGAATGTGTGAGAGAAGCCTTGCCACAGGTGGAGCGTGTACGGTCTGAATGACAGCCCAACACGAAATCATGCTAGTAACGGCATGTCGCCGAGGAATCTCAAGGCATTCAGAGGCTCAGGGTTTCGGACTTTGTATTGCAGCGCACGCGAGCGAGGTTGATGACTTTTGAGGATGCTGCTGAGGAGCTAACACTGCCCAACTACCACGATTCTACAAAATGCTGGAGTGGAACCCTCATTCAGCTTCCAGAACCCATAGCCCAACCATGGTTTATGGTTTATGGGTAGATGGTATATGAAATCATGAGTTGATGTCTTTGATGTTGTTCAAACCCGAAGGGTTGCGAAGGGTTCCGTCGCAGAGCTCGTTGCCGAAATGATTGCTGACACAACTTTGCTGGATTCCACTGCTTACCAGGATGTCGGTTTCAAAACTTTAAGTCGGGGAGGCCAGCGAGGGAGGGGAGCAGACGAGAGGAGAGGAGAGGGGAAGGCCTTCATCCTTGCCTTTCGGGACATCACCTTCTACTCAAGCTCCGAAACAATGACATGACTCCCAGCCTTCCTTGCCAAGAACAGCGAGTTTGCCACAAACGGATCTTCCAAGGTTCCCTGCATGAGCAGGACGACCAGCACGCCCAAATCCGGAAAAGCGCTCTTCGTTGCGAGAAGGTTCAGCTGGTCCTCATGCAGGATTTCCACCACAGTTCGCATTAGGAGAACGAGCTTCCGGCGCACCAAGAAACAGCAGGTCCGTGCTTCATGCTGCCATGAAGACATCAGGAGAATTTGTGGCTGAAGGCTGGTGATGGAGATGCTTTTCATCACCGACACCTTTGTGAAAGAGAAGGTGCCCAAACGGCATGCTTCCATGGCGGCTGTGACCACTTTCACTTGCTCGGTTTCGCTCTGTGACCGATCCAGATCCACAACTGGTATTATGTTGTGCTGCAAATGTGCGATTGCCTTTGCAACAAGGTCTTCAGTGATGCCCATGCTCGACAGCAAGGCCTTGTGCGACTCCTTCCATATGCTACGCACGTGCTCAACAATCAGTTCCGTATTCAAGGTCTCACAATCCTTGCACTTTACGGCCACGATGGGAACGCCCGACTGTATCGCACTTACAAATTCGCCCATGCAGAAAGGTCTTCCGAAATATTCTTTGGTTAGGATCAGAATCACACTCTGCGTTTGGTGCGCCACCGTGTCAAACAGCACATCCACGCTCAAAAGGTCATCCGAATCCAGGAAGATCTTCAACTGCAACCTCTGCTGAGCTAGCATGCACGTCTTGAACCAGCGGGCGAGCGCTGCTGCACTGCCTTTGTGATGGCTGATGAAGACTTGGTACTTCTTGCTTCTGAACCACTGGCTGAAATAGTTCAAGACCACGCCTGCGAAGATGCCAAAGGTGGCTAGGAGATGCAGGGAAACCCACGTCTGCAGTAAACCTATGTCCGGTGCTGTCAGGACCATGAGCAAGGAACTGCCGACCAGCAGGATGGAAACCGAGGCAGATGCGAGTGCATCGATGAAGTTAGCCAAGCTGGTGCGCCACGGCATGACTCGGACCTGAATTGCTAGGCCAGACACCAGAATCACTGCCAATAGCAGGATCTGCACGGATTGGCTATTGGTGAACACTGCCGGCGTCAAAGCGATGAGGAGGTTGCGCCAAAGGTAGACTACGGCATATGTGTAGGATTCATTGGTAAATCGGTCAAAGGCAAAGCGCCATCTTTCTAGGAACTGAATTGAACCAGGCCTTTGGATTCGATTTGGATATACCCACACGGCCCATGACACTGCAGCCAGCGGGGTGATGCTGAACAACAACAGTCCAACTACCGCCAGGATCACCATTGCAATGTGCTCCGGAACCTCCAGACATATTACCGACCGATATGCCTGAACTGATGAGGATCCATCCGGATTGGCGGCACACTGAAGCGGGAGTACAGCGACACGCGCCGACGCAAGGTAAAGAATCATGACTACAGAGCCCTGGCTGCTGAACACGCTTGCCCAACTTGTCTTTCCCATCGCCAAGCGCATTCGCCCAATTACTGTCACAGCCAGAACGGCGAGTGGAAGAGCCAGCAAGCAGGCCAAATAGGAAAGCACCGCATCATTTTGTTGCAAAACACACTCTGTGCCCAGAAGATCGGGACTGAAACTGAGGAAGCGAAGGGCTCGAAGCATGTAGCGAAGGACGTCTTCATGCGCGACCACTAGGTCGGCAATGGCCCCAAGCGCCTGTGTAGTAGAGAAGAAAATTGCCACCGTGGCCGTTATCGTCGCAATGTCACTGTTGAAGACGGTCGTCGTCCTCCAGCACAGCTTGGACTCGAAAGAAACCCAGTTTAGATTCCTCAACAACTTGAAAGCCCGAGAAGTCCCAGGGCTAGGTGGCCCAAGGCCTAAAAGAAGCTGAACCTTAAACTCTTAAACCTTGATAAACCATCTGACCCCTGGCGTCCTGCAACTTGAAAGAAACAGTGCGCACCCGGCTAAGCACAAAGCCACCAGGAGCGGCACGGCTTGCACAACCTGATTCTGGCCGAGCGGGCTCAGGGTCGTACGATCCGGGTTTGGGTCGGATTTGGGTGTGGGAATATCACACTAAATCGCGTGGCTGTCTCGTCAAAGAAAAAGCTGAAGAACACCCACCTACAGCAACCTACAACCCGCGGAATTCCCGTGCCCTGGGTCCGCCCTGGTCCCTCGACCTTAAATCCTACTGAAACCGGTCTCTCGTGGTCTCGTACTTGTTTGTGCCGCTCTCATTCAGGGTTAAGGGCAGTTTCTGAGGGTTGGCGGACAAAAACGACAGCAAGGATCTTAGTTAAGGTATTTAAGCTTGGGTTTGTGCATAACGAGGGATCGGGGGCATGGCGCGTCCGCCTCAAGAGCTCGAGGGCTACGGTCCTTCCTGTACGACCCAAAAAAAGCTTTTCCAGCAAAACCGTAGGAGCACGGAGCTTGTCAGGGAGGAGTCTCGGGAAAAGCGAGCACAGCACAGAGAAGGCGTTATCACAGCTTAATGAACTCGGTGAACAATCCTCGTTGAAGCCTTGTTCTACCTGCATTTGTTTTAAGATTCGCGGCCCCAGACGCCTCCGATTGGAGTTTTCGTCACGGTTTTTCCACTACTTTCTGGTAGCTTGATTCGATGACTTTCGTTTCGAGCGTGCTGTCTTCCTTCTGGAAGGTCAGGGAATGCCGACTTGCTGATACCGGTAGCTTCGGCTTCAAGCGATCAACCCAACCTCGAAGGAAGAAAGACATACATGTTTAGGTGTCAACAGGTTTAGTCTGGTGTTCTTCTATCCTTCCTTCTGGATTAGAAGGCGATTTCCGAAACGCCTTCCTAAAGCCCCAAGCCCGACGTCCCACCTCAAAGCGAAACCTCACCCTGCGCCAGGCGGCGCCGCATGGGTCGCAACGTCCGCGAGAATCATTCCAGTACCAGCCTCTCACCTCGGTGGATAGAGATATACGACATGTAGGATACCTAACTAAAAAGTGATTATTCTTGTTTACAGAACACTGTACCTGTCAGTGCGTGTATATATGTATATGTATATGTTTATGTTTATTTATTTATGTTGGGTGTCTCGCAGGTTTTCGCACTCATGGTTAAGTTCAAGGATTCGGGGCTTAGCACAAAGAGAAGGCTGTGCTGCTGCACAAGCTTGACAGGAAAGTTTCAGGGAGTCTTAGACTCTTAGACTTATGGAGACTGGGTTTTGTGGCTTTACCCGAAACCTGAAACCCGAATGCCAGCTATGTGGCGCATGCATCGCAAGCAAGCAGATCCTGCCCCGCGCCGCAGGAACCGAGTTCTTGGCCTTCTGCACACCTCAAACGGGCTATGCCCTCACCGAAAGTTCAATTTCCGGAGCTTGTATAGCTCCTAGATGCCAAGCCCTTTGGAAGGCAGAATCTCGATTTGGGGCTTGGGGCTTTGAGGCGGACCAGCCTCCGATCAGCGCACGCAACCATGCGCGGAGTGACCAGCAAGGCACTGCCGTTTCGTGAAAAGTGAACCTCCCTGGCATAGTAGCCAGCCGCCTGCTTTGGTAAGCCCATGCCACCAGGGCACCTGGCAGTTGCATGGCTGTGGGAAGGCTCGGACCAAGGTAGAGAAGGGTGCTGGCAACCAACAAGGGGTCACCATGTTGTCCTTCAACTCTCATGCAAAAAGACAAGTAGACACCCCGATGGTGAGTCGCCAAAAGTAAAAATGCAGATTGCAAGTGATGTACAGCACTTATACAACACTTCAATGCTATGTACACACACATATATCTATATCTATGTCTATATCTATATATATATATATTCATTTACTACTCAATCTGTTGTTCACACAAAGCTATTTTTCATCTGAATCTACCTAATTAACAGCTGTATCAAATTGAGGTTTCCTCCTTGAAACCCCTGACCTTTCAGTCTATGAGCCGTCGAGACCGTGAGATCTAAAGCAATTCTAAGCGCGGAATCGCCCTCCTCAACACTCTCCTCTCCTAAGGGTCGCACTGCAATCCCGTGCTGCAAGGCTCGCAGACGAGTTGGCCTCCCAGCAACGGGAAGGTCTCCTCGGCGCCGTGGGGGTGGGGTAGATTTTAGGTGTCGGGACTTAGGATGGTGTCGGCTTCTCATGGGCAGGCTTGAGCGGATGGGGCTTGGGGGCCCGGGCTCGGCGTTCTACTGAGTCCTCGGGGCAGATGCAGTCGTCGATGGAAGTGCTGGCCAGTTCACGAGTCGTGCTGCCTGTGCAGGGAGCTACAAGCTATCGCCCAAGGCCAGCCAGGCAGCATCAAAACACCAAGCTCCCTAAGCCCTAAGCTCCCGCACTGCGAATCTAAGCCCAGTAAACCTTACCTTCTCATTCCTTGCCTGCGGCTCTTTGCTCACAGGATTCGCAGGAAGACCTGAATAATCCCAAGTTCGGATTTGGAGCTCATGCTCAGCTCGACAGTTTTAGGTTGCGTACATAAGGGCCAGGGTTTTGGGGTGACTGTAAGGGTACTAGCACTGACTAGGAGGGGCTTAAAGGTTTGAGGCTCGGGTCTGGTTGCACCATAGACCCCAAAAGCTCTTCGTGCCAGATTGGGTGCTGTCCACGCTGGCTCTGAAAAGTACCTCTTGGACAGATTGTGCAAGACGTTGCCGAGGTCTCGTTGGAGAAGCTGCCCGAGCTGCAAGACCTGCACACGCCCGCGCTATCGCCTGAAATCAGGGGTAAAAATTTAGAAAAATAATTCCATAAGCAATGTTTGGATAAACCAGGGGAGCCTTCGAGGATCAGGAAGCGTCCCAAGCCGCAGCCTTCGCAAGACTCCCCTCCCGGGGGAAGATAGCCGCCCAAGGAGCACTGCTTTTCCTTTGCTGGGATTTACTTTGGCGACCGAAGGTTAGGGGCATGGGCTTTCTTCGGGCTTGATGTGACGGCTTGAGGTCGTAAGCGCGTGAAGTCCAGCCAGGTAAAACACTTTCTGAAAGCCCCCCAGCTTCTACCAAAGCCGGAGAAGAGCTGTAGCTGAAATAGGTCGTTTGGGCTGCGTCCCGGAGTTGACCACCCCACTTCAAGGAAACGGAGAAATTCAATTCGTCCAGCGCTGCTCCCAGTAGAAGTCGGAGGCCCTGTCCTCCCTCCTCCCACACCCCCTGAATCACCGTGCCCGGCACCTCCTCCAAGGCCAGCAAGCGGTGGAGAGCGACCTTGTCACTCACATCCGGCATGTTCGTTGGCATGTTAAAAACCATCCGCAACTGCTGTGTCTCTGGCAGGTACTGGAAGCTACTGATGTTCGGCCCGGATGGGAAGACATGAACGAGCAGGTGGCCAAGCCCTGCCCCTCCCGAGGCACACAAGCCCAGTGGATCACAGGCGTCGTAGAAGACGTCAACGTCGTGTCGACCACCCATAATGTCACAGAACTTGAGGACTCCTGCTTCCAGTGACACCTCTGCGCTCCCCGATATGTACCCCAAGCTGAAGACAAGTGCATCGCCATCGACATCCGTTGCTTCCAATCCGATCTCTGCACACGCGCGCTCTCGCATGCTATGGTGCAGGAGGGAGGCCTTGATGGGAAAAGGTGACGGGATGTGCGTCGCTGCATTCTCAAGGCCCAACAGGGAGTTCATGCCAGGGAATTGATCTAGAGCTTCCGAGTCGACGCGGAAATTTCGCTCATTTAAGCCGAAACAGAGGGAGGAGCTGTTCACGAGGCGCCGGTACTTGCAGGTCTCCGTGTCGTCGTTGTCGAAGGTGTAGTGCAGCAAGAGCTCCTCCTCACGAACATTGGCGCCTGCAGCGACGGCTTCCATCTCCGAAGCCAGGAGCTCCGAGCCATAGACCCGGAAGTCATCAAGGATGCCCCGAAAGAAGTTCGAGGGGACCATCTGCTCTGATGAAGGGGATGGATCATACTCCGCCCCGAGCTCCCACGGGGTCAAGTCCTGCACGAAGCCTTGGCACAGTGGCTGCCACGCAGAGGACGCAGCGAGGATGCAGTGCTTATGGAAGTTCCAAAACCCGAACTCCGGAGGCCTACAAACTGAACCGCGACGAGGAGACACCCTGGCATGCATTCGCCGATGTCGGTCGACTGCGCCATCAGCTTGCCGTTGCGATACGCGGCGAAGCGGATTCGATGATCTTGGCCTCAGCAGGCTTCGGGCTTCCAGGTATCGCAAAGGGCCCTTCAACAACCTACACCTTCAATCTTCTGAATGCCCAACCTCCACACCCAAAGCCCTAAACGACGAGGCGCAATGAAACAATCTCAAACGCCAAGCCCTGAGGGCTTCAATCCCTGAACTTGGTAAAGCTTTGTATAGTACGTAGTTCGGTTGTCCAGCAAGCCCGAGGAGCCCGAGGGCACACACTTCGCCGTGACGGCCATGTGATGTGGCTCCAAGCGCGAATCCCGAATCTGCTTGCCCGTCATCCCCGTCTCTAGGACAAAACTGTCGTCCGGCTCCCTGGGAAAGTTGATGAACCCTGGCCGTCCTGAAAGGCAGTCACAGGACAGTTAGACATGGCTAAATCATCACATTTTCAACAAACCACTACCAAAAAATCGCAGTACCCAGAGCCTGCACCGCATTTCCATAAGAAGCTGTATGCGCCGCCGTGGAAAAAGAGAAGGATGTAATTCTCTGCGTCTTGGACCCAGTGGCGACCGACAATGCACGGCTCCGAGGATGTGGAATCGGCCTTCATCCACAAAGAGAGCGAGAACTCATCCTTCTGAGGGGTGTGGCCTGCTAGGACATATCCGCTCTGCCCATCTGTATGCATGGCTTTCGCAGCACCAGCGACTGGATGATGATTTGGGCGCACCCGCACATGCAGAGTTCCGGTCGCTTCCAGAGTTATGTTGCCAGCAACGGCACGCACATGGAACTCTGTGACGTCGAAGCCGGCACGCTGGGGGAGGTAGGCCACATGGCCACATAGCTGGAAAAAAGGCGTTGAACGGTTTTCCGACAGCGGGATGGAGACTTCAGCTTGAAGGGGTCCTTGAATCATCAGAACTCCAGTAGCGAGAGATTGTGGAAAAGTTGCCGTTGCGACCACCCCGTCTACGGACTCGTCCATGCTGGCGCATATCTCGATGTTCTGCACGCCGCTGCCTCCGAGCACGTCCCAGTCCCTCTACATTCTCTACATGCTACCACGAGCCCTCCACCCGAGCAACACAGGAGCAGGGGCTTGAACTATGCGGGCAAAACAAAGAAATAGTTTGAAGCACTAATCCGTGGGCATCATGGCACCCCTATAAGCCCCAACCGGCATTTCGCAGCCAAGCCGCCGAGCCCTACGTCGACAACCACGGCACTTCCGACGCCTGGCATCAAACGGGGCTTGGGCTCCGGGGGTGTTTCGGAGTTCGGGTTTCAGGTGCTCCTTGGCGGGCACATGAGTTTCTAAGTCGTCCTTCTCACCCGAACTAACACCTATCAGAGCCCTCGCTCCTTGTGTTGCTAGCTAGTGCTGAGCACCAGTTGAGCAGGACCCAACAGCTATGCCGAACACTGTTGTCTCTGCATACCTCTGTGACTACCAGTCCAGGAAGTACCAGACCAGGAAACCCCCTGTGGGAATACAAGGCTTTATGCTATACGGCTGACACAGTAGCCTTTAAAAATACACCGGGAATGCACCTGCTTTGATGGCAATGTTGATGAGTGTTGATGAGGGACGGAAGGGTACCAGTGCACAATCCTTTTCACGTCAATCAAAACACTGTATGTAGCCCAAGTTTACAATGTAGCCCAAAGAAGCAACACAAACAGTAAACTAATCCTTAACCCCTATCCTATCCTGATATATCCTGAACCGTAAACGCTAAGCCCTTCTTGGCCTGGGATCGGAGATGGCACCCACGTCGGAGTCTTGAAAATGACGCCAGCTCCGAGCAACGTGCTCGGTGGACTTTCCTGGGATGGAAGCTGGAGCTTTGTGCGCTGGCAAATCAGGGTCTAAACCTAACGCCCAGGGTTTCGTTGCGCACTGGGTTTCTGAGTCAAAGCGTGAGGCAGCAGCACATGCCGCTAAGCGCACACAAAAACATGCCACGGCTCATGTAAATTCTTTTCGTTGTTTCAGCATTTCTTCTGAATTGGGAAGCCGTTCTGAGATTGAACAGTGCTTGCCTTAACCGAATACATATATAGGCCCTGCCGTTGTGTGTTTGCATGTGTTTGACATCTTCTTTTACCTAGCGGAGGGCGGAGGCCATCCTTTCCACCGAAGTGCTCGGTGTCGTGCTGCCCTCGTCCGCCTGTGTGGCGCCAAACACATTGCAAGATGTCAAAGACAGCTTTCCGCTTTTCGCGTCGGACACTGGCTTTCGGCAAAACACAAGTTATTCAATGCGCTTCGCAAAAGGCCTCCCAAAAAATACGGCAGAAAAAACGTCAATCGAGTTTGCTCCATCTTGGAAGCTGGGACGTCCGAAGCCTTTCCCAGTCGTCGTCCAGCTGTCCATGGCCCGGACCCCCTGGTGACAGACCGGAAGGCAGGTTGAAAATGTAAGCGTCCCCAAAAAACGCTTTGTCAGCCTTTGCAAAATCATACGCAACGCGTCTGTTCCACTCCATTTTGTGGTGAGCCGAAATTGCTCTGACCTGCCATGAACACTTGGAGGGTTCATCGAACGATCCAAGAAGTGAGCGGCACATAAAGATGTCGGGGCTAACCGAAGGCCTCGCAAACTTCCGACACGTTTCGGGGAGTCCCAGCAACTGATAATGTACTCAACTTGTCAAGAGCTGCCGTTCGCCCCCAGCTTCACCTGCTCCGAGCTGGGCATGCTCGGGTATTTCGCTCGAGCCCTCCTCGGCTAGACTTCAGGGTGTTGCTGCCGTTCGGACAGGCAAGGGTCACAGCCGGTAGAACAGCGTCTCCACAAGTCAAGGCAGGACTGCACTGCCAATCAGTTCAGATAAAACTTCAGGGTTCAAACTTTCGCTTCTTTCAATCGCACCAGCAACGAAGACTCATGACGTCGCCGTTCTTGTTACCATGACACCACCGGCACAGTTCAAACAACCAACCACAATAAATGACAAGCCCAACCCGAAGACAACTAAACCTTAATGCGTATGCTGGGCCAACGCAGAGATGACTTGCCTCACCACAGTTGATCACAGTTGCCCGCACGAGTCGATGCGGCCAACTTTCAGGCATCAGTGCTCTGTTCCAAAAACCGTGTTCGATTGGTTTTGTAGTTCAATGTAGTTCGCGACTGCCAGACGGTGAGATGCCGAAGCCCAGACTAGAGTCCAAAAGGTAGGTCTGTCTATCACAGAACTCGCAGCAGCCTTACCGGGTACCGACGTTTCCACATAATAGCAGGTTAACACCCTGGGCTCAGTTTCCAGTCAGGCCAATGCGTGGCCATCGTAGAGCCCGTGAAGCTGACAGGAGGCAGGGCGAGCGAGACTGAACTGGAGGTCGCGCGGTAGTCAAGCAACAAGCGCGGAGCAAGCAAACATGTCATCCAACAGTTGTGGCCAGAGCGTGGGAACGCAGCTGTCAAGAAACACGGTGTACAGCGCGCACGTCCGGACTCCCTTGCTCTCAGGGTTTCCCCTCATCCGTCTGGCTCGCTTGGGGCAGCTTTGACCAGAGCCTGTGTTGCAAGGCGTCGCACGGCTCGCATTCTCGGGCGGAGCGAAAACCCACGTGTTTTTAGTCTTTCAGGGATGCTTAGAAATAATCGAAAAACACTCTGGTCGATACTGTCCTGGTTCACGGCATCGACGAAGCTCGTACGGAGCATGCTGAACGATCTCTTGAGGAACTGCAAGAGATTCAGCCAAAATGGCCGTAGATTAAGGGCATCGGGTTAGGCTGTCAAGGTTGGGGCAAGCGGCGGGGGAGGTGTATTGCGATTTAAGCTTTGATGCTCATTACTTGGCGTTATGCTTGTAAGGTTCAGCGCCCTAAAGCCCCGTCAATTGCAAGAAGAAGTCATCCTCAACAACTTTGAACAGCTGAGCATCGTCTGGCATGTCAAAGCCCAGGTGCAGCGTCAAATTCGCGGCTGCGGGTCCCTCAAGGTTGTGTAAGAACCTGTCGATCGTAAGGAGTCTAGGGTCGGTGAACCACCGATGTCTTAACTTGGAGTTGCAGATGATCCTGACTTTGTGGGCGCAAGACATTATATGCTTTTAGGCTTGGGAAAGATTGAAGGCCAGGCATTTCGTTCCCAGAACAGTCGCCTGCTGTCACGGATTTCCTCATGACTGCGAACACAACTCCATATGCGGATCTCGTCCAGGACTCCTCCAAAAGCACGGTCGTCGGTTACCTCGGTTTCAGGGTTTCTGGATTTCTTTTGTTGGCCCTAACGCTGAACCCCACACTGACCAACTTGTTGAAAGGCACATACTGGCCCAGATAGCGCCCAAATCGTCCTCCCAGCGTCCATGGAAAGGCCATGTACTCATCCACGATAGCCCGCATGTCATCCTCTGCCAAACTTCCTGTGGCAACACCGTCGCCATTGATGAACACTGCATAGTCTCCGTCCTTGCTTAGGGACATGGCCCAATGAAAGATCTCCCCAAGAGCAGGTGGCACACCGAACGAGTCCACGGTAGCCGTCGACGTGTGAATCTCGGCCCCGAGTTCGAGTATCGACCTGAGCCAGGCCCCCAGGCACTCTCACGATTAAGCACTGGGGCGCTAACCGGAAAAAACCTCCCTCGAACATCTTCCACCCTCCCCGAAGACTCGAGCTGGAGAGGGATGCAGGAGTGCATGACTCGTGCTGCTCGGCCGCAAGATCAGACCCGTCGGTGTGACTCGTGACATCATCGCAGAATTGACATTGTATGATGCCAAAGCCCTTCCACCACCATCCTGCCCAGAGGGGGGGGGCACAGTCGGGTCTGGGGCGCAACAGCCTAAGCTGCGAGGAGCAAGCAAACGGTTGTTAACATGTTTTTTCGAGGAATAAAATCTGGATCCGGCTAAGGCTTAGCATTTTTGGCCCAAGCTCCTTCAGATCCAACGGCTGGGCCCAGAACTCGATGGTGAAAGGTGGTGCGGGCATGTTGTCAAGCAACGCGATGTCATCCACGCCATCGAAGAGTAGCCCCCAGCCCGCATTGCCAACACGTAACTGAGATGGCTCTGCCAATGCTGCAATTACCTCGGATGCCGGAATGCGATGAGAACCGCCACCGGAAAGTTGTCTTGAAGCAATGCTACACTGCAACTGTTTAGGAGGGGAGGTGGGGGGACTAAGCTCGGTGCTTGACAACTCCCTTTGAACGAGGTGACCCTGCCGTCGGCCCTTTAGTATGAAGACCGTTGAAGACCCTTCACGCTCAGATCCGTGGCGGTACATTAGAAATCAGCTCTGAAAGCCGCCTGGTTGCCAACACCAAGCCGGTGCAAAAGAACATCATGCAAGATCAGAAGATCGCAAGAACTACTTCAAAACCATCACGCTAAGGCTTGATAATGGGCCGGCAATCTTTGCCTTGAGCCAGAAGCCTTCAGCTTGACGTAATGGATTGGTGCAGCAGACAAAACGTGATTTATTCAGCAAATGTGACATGCAGACTCGTGCAAATCCATTCGTGTAGGACCCAAATACTGCTCCATCGTGCTATCCTGATGTTTGGGAGGTACGGCTGTCATTCTTCCTCTTTCGAGATGCCCGGCAACCATTCTAGGGGGCAGAAATCACAATCGCCTGGCGGGAGGATCAGAGATCCAAAAGAACACCTTGAATGGTCAATTCGCAGACACTTCTCGACACTAGTTAGTAATATCTGATGATCAGTAGTAATAGTTCTCATAGTAATCAAGTATTATCAATTAACATTAATAAAAAGGATTAGTCTGAGTCTGAGTATTACCTCACCGGTCCACAACTTCCAAGGCCTCAACCCCGCAAGCGGGAACGCCTTTTTCTCTCCTGTTGTTCGCAGGCGCTGGCTCTGCCGCAGGGGTGGTCGCAGCGCGACTAAGAACTCAGTCCTGACAAGGGTTAGTTGGTGACGGGTAGTCTGATGGTGGCCAGCCATGGAGGACGCCGAAAGAACAGCTTCAAAGGATGGGTACCAGCGATCAAAGGATCGCTTCGCAAAGTCCGTGTCTTTGAGCAGACCCCACGCTTCCTTCCAGCGCATTCCTCTGCTGCACGTGCTGATCGCAGCACCGAGCACAGCGCTCGGTAAGCTGAGGCCAACCTGGGCCTGGGGCCCAGGCACCTCCTGGACACAGCGCAAAGCCATTCGCCAATCCTCGCAAATTGACAAAAGCACGCCGCGAGTGACCTCGCTGCTTTGAAGGCCAAGCTCCAGGAGCTCACTGGAAAGAGACACCGCAGCCAACCACTGCAGGGCGGCCCCACAGCTGGCAGCAACAGAGTTCTGGCAGACGGTGTCTTTCTGCAAGGACAGAGACCGGGTTCTTTGAAGGAGAGCCAGAGATGCATGCCAAGAGCTCGGCTCAAGACCTCGGAGCTGAAGTCTCTCTACAGTATGAATGATTTACAAGTCCCCCCCCCCCCTCTGGTATTCTTCTGCTTTGGGCCGAGTCCGGTCCGGCCCGGTTCTTTCTAAGTTCACAGGCTGTGGTTGCAGGAAGTTCGTGGGATGTCTGAGGTGCCGGCTGCTGCTCGCCGCGGCGCTGAAGACATGCAGGGAAGGCTTTCCTCCTTGCCGGGCATCTTTCTCCAAAAGCTGAACGGATGCCTCCCACTGGGAGACCTTGCTTTGGCTTTCTGCCAAGGACACCAAGGCGGCGACCAGATGCTCGGATTGCCGCTGTGACTTCAGAAGCCGACTATCTGCGAGGCCAAGGGCGCCTTCCCAGTTGGAAGCCTTGACACAAGCTCCAAGCGAAACCACTGGCAACAGCAGATCATCCAAGCGCATGCTGTTCGTCGGGTGCTCGGTTGTGCCAGACTTCACCAGTACTGACAGAGACTCTCTCCAGCCGTGGGTGTTGCTGCAGACTGAAGACAGACAGGAGTACGTCGCGGCATCACTTTTTAAGAGCCTGCCCTCGAAGGTTTCGAGCACCACAAAAGCATGAGGCCAGCTCAAGGAACCACTGCTTGTGCACATCCTGTTCCATGTGGCCACGTCTGGTTGAAGGCCACATGCCTCCGAAGACAAGCCAGCGTCCAACGCTCGGAGCCAAAGTTTGGAGGACTGAAGCGCATCGATGCTCACTCCCACCGAAATTGAATCTGCTCGCAAGCCAAATAACCCAGACTTGAGCTGTCCAAATGCATGGAGGACCTTCAAAGGCATTGGCACGAGAACAACTCCAAACTGTGACCAAACAGCTGCGGAGGTCTACAAGACCTACAGACCTACGGATTGGTGCTCTCTAATGTCCGTCGCCTGCTGCCAGCAGCTTCTTCGAGAAAGGCCTGTCATGCCCGCGTTGATGCCTGGCGTGCTGAGCTGAAACGGGCCTCCCATCAAGAAGAGCATCTGTCGCCACTGCAGCTCACCTGCACAGCACTGGGCCGCAGAGTTGAAGGAGATGACATCGGCAACCAAAGCTTGCAGCCGCAGGGCTGCAATGCAGTGCAAGCCGGTCTTCCACTCGTTCTTTGCAGCTGCCATGGCTGAGTTCCAAGATATAATGTCTGTTTCAGCAGACTGCCGCGCTGCCTCTTGTAGGATCTGCATGCTTATCTGCCAGCGAGCATCGGCGCTGCTGGCAGCCAGCAACGTGTTCATCAGCACTACACCAGTGCCAGGAGTCGTGAACCTCCGATCTGCCACAGCGGCTAAAGCTCGGAGCCAAGCCTCACCGGCTCGATTCCTCGCATTTTCAACTAAACTGTTCACGACACTGCCCATAGTGACGACGCTCTGTCGCGTGAGCATATGTTGCATGCATGCCAGGGTCGCCACCACTTGCCTCCATCTGCCGAGCTTGCCCAAAATCTTCATGCCAGCATTGAGCGCAGCGGTGTCCGGGCGATAGGCTTTGTCTAAGGTCTTGGCCAGGTGGTCGGAGGTGTGCAGCAGGTGCAGGGCAGCATCCCATTCACGGGCTTTGCCTAGTCGGGAGATGGCTCCAGCCAGCCCCCACAGCTTACCTCCTCGTACCTGCACGCCTGCGGCTTCCAAGACTTCCAAGCCCATGGAACCGAAGGGCTCGCCCAGAAGTTCAAAGCGCTTGCTGGCATCATTCCGGTGAATTGCAGAAGGGTTCCTCGTCGACTCGAGCTCACCACGGGCTCACTTCGCAGCGCAGATCTCTACCTTCGGAATCACTCCATCACGCCACACCAGGCCATGGCCGTCCTTGCGATCTGGCAACTGCCACGGGCCTCTCGGCTACGCGGAAGACTGAGAACTGAACTTGTGCAGGTGAATCTGGAGCAGTCGGCATGTTGTGAAGCTGGCACGCCTGTGAACTCTCCTTTGCTCCTGCAACTCGATTTCCTGTACACCTGCTGTTGTTCAGCAATTCTCTTGGCGATTGCGGCCGGGAAAACGGAAGGCATCAAGGCATTCCAGCTGCTGCCAGGTGACCGCAACAAGACGTGTAGCTGTACAGGTCTTGTGCCAAACAGAGAAGCAGAGCCACTAGTCCAAGGACCTGCTGGCACTGCTTGCAGGCAAGTGCCATCAAGCTTGCATGGCGGACCAAAGCGGTCCACTGTACCGGGGGAAAGCTCAGTTGGATGCCCAGACGCCTCGGTTGCGGGCCGTGCAAAGGGCATTGGATGTCAAACGGCAGTTGCCCTCGAGGCTGCTGCGCGATGCGTTGGCGGCATGTCGTCGCGACAGGCGCTCGAAGAATTCCAAGAGACTGAGCGCACGAAACGGAACCGGACTTGCTCTCCGCTGTGCCAGACCCTTGCCTTTGACGACTATCGAAGGAGCGGCTGCTACCTCCTGCATCCTGGGTGCGGGGAGACACAACATCTCGGCATAGGCTGTGCACATGCTCCTTCGCTGCACGTTCCATGGCTTCATGACCTGCCGTGGACAAGTGCTGACTGCTCTTCAAGTCCAGATGGTGTCCTGTACGCCCTTTGTATACGTGCAGTCAGGGTTTCGCCCGTAGTTTCGGGCCTTGCCCCGACACCCGGGCAGCGTCTCGCAGCAGCACCAACACAACCACAGCCGCCACCCCACCATCAACAACGGGAAAAGTATCTCCAGCAAACGAAACCTAAAGCATTGACATGGCATCCTTTATTTTTTGGACACCGAAAGCATCGTTTGCCCAAGCCCCAGTTTCTCATGCTGAAAACGGAACAGGTTCCATGAAGTTGATGTGTTCTGCTCAAGAACTGAACGGAGGCCAAGACGCATGCACGAGGAAGTACGAGTGACAAAAGCAATGTTAGCAGCAACAGTACGAATTGTGCATACAAGCAGAATAAGAATGTGATACGACGACCATGACGACAAAATCACAAGCATAAACAGAAGCAGCAACTGTGACAAATGTACAGAGAATATCAAACGAGTGTTCAGCATCTTCAGTTTTCCATAGCTATACCAATTGAGCCTTGATCGGAAAGCGCTCGCAAGAAGAACCTGCGGAGCTGAGCTGGGCGTAACGATTGATCAGGGCTGCAACCAATTTAGATCCCCAGCCTGGCGCCGACGACGACCATCTTTTTTGTCGATTCATCTTCGTCGTCCTCAGCTTTTCTGCCGTCCTTCTTTGCGGAATCATCCTCTTCTGCTTTCCTCTCCTCTTTCCTGCGACAGCGCGCCACAGGAGACTCACGCCGCCGTGGATGATCGTTGACAACGGCTACTGTGTCTGTTCGCAAGAGCAAGCACGCGGAGTGTCGATTGTCTGGCCTTTGTAGAACGAGGGTCACGATGAAATCATGTGGCCTGATCGTGCAGAGGACAAGTCAGCAGACTTTTCGTGCACAGGGTCACTGGCATGAAGGTCGTGCAAGTGCCATAAAGCAGTTGAAGTGCAGCTTCTAAAAAGCACTTTAGATCTAAATCTCCTGGCCCGCTGAAAGCTGCATAGCATGAAAACATGAAAGGTCATGGAAGCGAGCTGAGACAACGGCCCGCACACACCCTCCAAGGCGTAGGAGGCAACGTTCTGTTGCATCTCTGACACCTGAACTTCCCCGTTCTTCAGTCGGTCTGGTCGGCCGAGTTAAGTCCCCCGGCCACCAGGGCCCCCCAGTTTCTGAGGCTTTGGGAGGATGTGAAAGTTCGCTTTGATATTGCCCCGGCTGTTCACAATTTATTTGTTAAAATAAGATTTTTCCCTCTCGCATTGTGTGGATTCGATGCCCGCTCGCGAGGTCTGGCTTAACATGAGGGGTTTCACAGCTGTTTCACAGGCTCTCTCCCTCGCCCTCTTTCTCTCCCTGTGCCTCAACGTGTGTGTGCGAAGTTTCTCCATGCCTCTCTCTGGTATCTGGCCTTATCGGCCTGCAGTGGCGCGATGCGCTCGAAAATGGATACAGCCATGAATGTCTGTGATATTGGTCGACATAAGGCTCCTCCACCCATCCTTTGGCACATACTATATCCTTTGTCGCGCCAGTTGTAGAGAGCTGTGGTGATTTGATCTGGGGCTGCTGACATGAGCAGCTTTCTGGGATTGATTGGTGCGTCTTTTGGGGAGAACAAGCATGAACTTCTCAAAGCATTTCGGACTGATGAGGCAAATGAGGTCGACCAGATGTCAGGTCAAAAGATCTAACTGCCGTGACGAGGTGTACAACAGGGCTTTCCTTACCCTGCGGATACTGATGATGCGTGCTCTTTGTATCTCTTCGTACTGTCTCCACGGCTTTGCAGGGTGGGTGGGAATTGAAGTTTTGCTACCCGCACAAACTGCCGATTTCAGCCGCGAAACAAGTGAGTTCTCTCGCTCTTTGAGTTGATGCTGGATGTTGCTGCTTGGAGTCCTGGCGCAGTTGCTGTTGTTGCTGCTGCAGCGGTTGTGGCAGCGCTAGTGGTGCGGAGCATCGTCGCACCGTTCCCGAAGTAACTTTTGTGGCGGCGCCGGTGACAATGCGATCAATTCCTGAGGTGCGCATGTTCGTATACTGTTAATTACTGCGTGGAGTCTTCTTGCTCGTGTTCTGGCCACAGTTGCTATGGTTATTGAGTTTGTTGATGTCGTCGTCCCTGCTTGCCTCGTGTGCCTGAGCACATGTTTTTAAGTAGACGCCGGCTGTCGACCTCCAGCTGAGCAAAAGTAGCGGAATTCGGAGGCACCCGCGGCCCGCGACACTCCAAGTCCAGCACGACTCTGGCATCGATCATCCCGGCCCCCGGTGGCCTCACTAGCCGAAGGCCAACGATGCGCCGACAATGTCTGAAGCGTGAACTTTCGCCTTACGATTAGGAATGTTATACCTGGCAGCCTTGCAGACCCAAAACCTGGGGGGCCCACCAGAGCTGGCAGCTGGCTCCCAGTCGGCGCAGGCCCGCAGCTGCCTCGGTCTCTGGTGAAGCTTGCAGCTCTTGCAGCTCTTGCAGCTTGCCTTGCATCCTGGGAATCTGAGAAGTGAACATGAAGGGCCTGACCAGCACAAGTTGCTATTTCTTCAAGCATTTCGGCTAACCAGAGAGCGGCATCAGCCCAGATAACGACGCGCCTCAACCTGCAGCTGCAAGGAATTGGCGTCCGTGGCCTGCTGGAAGGCTTGGAGCCTGCAGGATCTCTGGGCACCAACGCAAAAATCCCACGTGCACTTCGAGCGCTTGCAGACAATGGAAGCTGTCACTGCCGTGGCCATCAGCCCCAGCCTGCCATCCTCGCTGGAAGCTGGGCCTAGAAGAATGCTTGGCCAACCTGGGGTCTCGTGCTCGTCAACTCTGGCCATGTCACAGTTGCTATGCAAACCACGCACGGGCCGGGGATGTTGCAGGCAGCTTGACGGCCAGCCTGACGCCACCATGGAACGAAGGCCTCGGTTGGGTGCCCGGATATGTACAATGACACTCCCTGCAAACATGTCTAGCGCAGTCGTGCGCAACAGCACACTCCATCGCTTTCTCCTGTGGTGCTTGGCCCTTTCTCTGTCCACCACTTGTGGGTGAGTCTCGGCCGTGTAACTTGTGAAGCAATTTGAAGCATGAGGGCTGGGTCGAGACCGAGGGAACATCTTCTATCCATCAGAAGACCAAGCTTGACCCTCCATCAATGCAGATAACTTGGCCTGTCATGTACCTCATCTGCGACAACAGGCTCATGCAGCATGTCTGTATGAATGGCAAAGAATGCATGTAATGCTCTCATTTGTGTGTTCACTGTTGTATAGATGATGCTTATTGTGACAGCCGGCGAGAGAGAGAGAGAGAGAGAGAGAGAGAGAGAGACAGAGAGAGACAGAGAGAGAGAGAGAGAGAGCTCCAGAGGATCGCCCCCACATGAGTCCACTAACTTGAGGCAAAATTTCGACGACTGATAGCCTCTTATGTCCAAGTGTCTCGGAGCGGATGCAACAAACGACGGCATCTGTCAGGTCATCCTCGCACGAGCAGTTGGGATGAATGAATACGGGGACAACTTTTTGCACATGGCTTGCGTAACCCCCGGAACTTGATAGCTCTGCGGTTCCGCCGCACCAACTCATCAACGGCCATGTCCGCTAATGATAATGTTGCCAAGCGTCTGGCTTCCCAACCCGCTTCATAGGTGCCATTCTTTTCACTGCTTCGTAGCTTCCGTCCCACTCCTTGCAAGCTCACCCAAGTGACGCCCAAAAGGCTTCTACAGCCTAGAAATCCTCCCGCGCTGCAGGCAGAGTGTCGCTCCCAGCAGTTATCCGGGTTTCAATAAGGCCCGGCGCGACGCAGTTGACCCGCACAGGCCCGCAGCTTTTCGCCAACAGCCGTGTGAGTTGATGCATGGCCTCCAGCAGTCAGTGTCATGCACAGTGGCTGATGAGGCCTGTTTGCCGTGAGCCGTTGCCAGACGACTAAGCCATCGACAGCTCTTGTCATGCCTCGGAGAAAGACTGCTGCGCTGGCTGGGGTCTCTATGGAAAGCCCACGACCGGCCGGACTGATTAAGCCCTGCTGCTGTATGGGACACTGCTACCGACAGGTCGAACTCCAGCGACGGACCCGATCATCACGATCGAACCATCTCCCTTTCTAAGAAAGGGCATAGCCTGTGCGTAAAGTTGAAAAGCGCGTGCAAGCATCTTTCTAAAGCTTCCTGCTCCCCATAGCACGAGTCACTCGCGCGTCTCGCAGCTTTGATGGTAAATATGTGTGTGTGTGTGTATGTATATATTAATATATACAGGAAACAAACTACTGCTTGGTTTAGGAAGGACTGATTTCGTCGGCGATTCGCCTCCTTGTTCATCTTCCCTTGCAATCTTTCGTGGGAACTTTGAATGCCCTCATGTTGCAAACCCGAGCAGCACATTGTCCTGAAGACCCATCCAGTGCAAGCCAGCAGCAGCACGACTCAGCCAAAGAGGCCCGAAGCAATTGAGGGCCTCGGACATGCAGCTAGTGATGCCGCGGAGTCTCTGACAGCGGGTGCACTTCGACCTCCTCCGTTCTCTGTTCTCGCCCTTGCGCAACCGAGGCACAAAAATCTTGTGAAGATACCTCGGCGCAGGCGAATCCAAGAGCTGAGGTCTCCGAGGTGGGGAGGACGAGAGGATGGAAGAGAAGGGCCCCTTTCCCTTTTTTCCCAATTGGCTTGCCGGTCATCCCAAAGCAAGAGCCATAGCAGCCTATGCCGGCGGAGATCCCCGAACTCAAACAGTGCGAAAAACCATACCAGAAGCATGCCATTACGACCAGAAATTTTCAGGTCACAGGTCGGAACAGTTGCCACCTGTGCTTTTTCAGCATCTACGCCATGCGCACAGCCAACGACAGGCAACGCGACCACGACGACCACGACAACAAGGACCAGCAACAGGAGACAAAACGGAGACCAGCAACTGACCAGGACGACACGACACCAGAGACCAGCAGAAGACCAGCAGGACAGCACCAGGAGACCACCACGACACTGCCAAAATGCTTTTCCGAGAGTGCTGGCACATTCAGAACCACGATGCGAATGCCTTCCTTCCAAGTACTGAGACTCATGCTCCCCCCCTCAGCTTGCGGGATGCAGAGGGGACACCCGGATTCGCTTCCTCTAGTACTGCTGCGATTCAGGGCGCCGCGAGCATTCTGAGATCATATGTAAACGTCGGGCGCATGCCTCAAATCAGTTCTCCTTTCTAATACAAGAAGCACATAGTGTTACCTCACTGTTTGGGAACCAGCTCTGTAGCCACACGGCCTGGAGTTTGCGTGTTTCCATGCAAGATGCGATCCACCATCTGGCAGCAACTACGGGGCTCAACCTATTTAGGCTCGCTCCACTTAAAAAAGCAATTCTCGCCTTTGGCGAGCTGGTTCGGTCGGCTCTTGGAAGTTTCTGAGCAGACTTAGGATTCCCTGTTGGGGTTCCTTGTAAGAAGGATCCGGGGACTTGCTAAGGCTCTGTTTTCGGATCCTTCATCTTCTGAAACTCCCACTTTCAACGGTAAACGCTGACATTGCGCAGCGCTATCAGATCGAGAAACAGAAGCCACGGTCAGATGCCAGGCCGAAGCATCCTCCAAGACATTGCAGTGTCTGTGTGGGAAAGACAGGAAAGTCTGAGCAACCTCAGGGCCTCACGGCACATATACCCAAAATAAAAAAAGCTGTAGCTGCTCTATCTCCGACTGTCTTCATCATCTGTTGGAACTCTTTCCTGAATTTTTGAAGTTTGGGTGGCGATGATAACAGCTCCCCCCTACGTGGCCAAGCTGCCTGTGGTAAACCTCAGACTTTGCGCCACTTCCAATGTCCAGTTCTGAAGTCTCCGGATTGCGTGAGTGTCTAAAACATTTAAATCTTCAAACAGTGGGCTGCCAGCTCATTGCCGGCACAGGCTGCTAGCGCCGACTGAAACTTTCATCCCGTGAGGAACTCTGCTAGTCGCGCAGGAGAGGGACATCCTCGTAGTTGAGGGCCCTTTTGAAGGATGTTTGTGTGTTCGCCAGCATGGCCAACAAAACTTCTTGAAATTCACTGGAACGAATTCCTGCAAGCGCCATGGAGGCGAAAAGCTTCGTTGTGAAATTCATGACGAGGAAGAACATTCGCTCGCCACTCCAGGGGACAATGCCATGTAGTCTTCCCAAGTACACCATCCCATAAATTCCGAAGACGACTATCAGAGAGATAGCCAAGAGAGGACGCCCGAAGATATGACCTTGGCAAATGCAATACGCTCAGAAGTTCATCAAAAGAAGATCAATCCGGATCAAGCCAGAGCCGAATGTCCAACCAAAGTCAACGTTAGCTTGGATCAGCTGGGCCACCTTCGGGGTTCTCTTTCTTCCAGCGCAGTACCCAAAGAATCATGTCGCGAGAAGCCCAGAAGTACATAAGGAAAGATACCTTTGCTGGCGAAGCTCATTGCAAGTCGTTTCGCGTTTGATGTCGGGCTTGCTGCAAAACTGCTCTGCTCGTGCACTCCAGAAGCATGCAGCTAGGGGCAGCCAAGGCGCACAAACTATACAGTATCGGATAGGGGCGCTAGAGATAAAGTTTGCACTCCAAGCGAGGATCATGTAGACGTTTGTGATGACCAGAGGCTCAGATACTTCTGGTGCAGGACGGCTAAGTGCACACGTCCCGGCCAGGATAAGCAGAATTGGAACGTTGATCAGCCACTCAGCATAGAAGACACTGTACACCGGCAAGCCGTCCAAGTCAGCATCGCCAACTGAAGCTGCATGTGCAAACCAAGCTGTGTCCCCTACCAGAAACACGGCGTTCTCAGCAAGAAGCACGGCAAACGTGGTGCACAGTAGTGCAGACGGGAGAAGGGACTCCCTGATGTTCGGAATGAGGTGAATCGCTTTCTGGGCAGTCCGATGTGTAAGAATCACCGAAACAAGCTCGTGCAGCAAGACCGCGGACAAAGCTGATGCAATGTAGCGGCTGTACGGAATTAGGTCTGCAGAATCGTCGTGGTGCAGCTCGCACTTCTCAATGCTTGAACATACGGCGGGACGTGCGAGGGCATAGCAAAGGCACACTGTCAGTGCTGTCACCAGCACCCATGTGACCTTTCGACTGAGCAGCTGCCTGATCATGCTAATGTCGCTCACTGTCTCCTTCCTCGCCAGCCCTGAATTGAGCGAAGAGTCAAGCCCTGAGGCCCCAACAACCTCAGGATTGGATCCACGTCCTAGCGGTGCTTCAATGTCAGGCAACTCATCGGGATCAGAGCATGGCTCAGGAACAACTGGTGCGTTCTTCTTCATCTTTAAACGTTCATGCATTCAAGGACTTGGGCCTGGAACCCGGACGGCGAGCATGCGCAAAGCTGCTCACCGAAGGATGCGCCAAAAAAAAATACACATAAATCACATGAACAGCATCTGAGGCGCTCATCATCGATTAGCTCCAGGTTCCCATGCGGTATGACCTTTCCCAGGCCGGCATTGCCTAGGTGACGGCGGCAAAGCCGAGCTGAGAAAAAAAGACCACACTCCACCTCCACGGCCAAGGCGGCCAAGGCGCAGACTAAAAGATCCAGTCGCCCACATCGTTTGAGAACCTCTTCGACTAGGCCTTCGCAGCCCTCTCGTTTGCTGCAGTCTGCCTGTATATATATTCCTCCTGGAAGGGTAGCTGCCAAAGCTGTCCCTTCTTCCACCGTGCTGTGGCCTCGGCTGATACTAGAAAGAGGGCCCGTCCAGGGCTATCGTCCCAGTCCAAGCCCTTGCATCCCCGAGCTCTCTGGTCGAAATCCCTTGGTCTCTTGGCGGCCCACTGTTCACCACTACCCGGTAGCCTTCGGCAGCAAGGCGCTGGGCGACTGCCTCCATCGCTATATCGAATGGCCAACAACCCTCAGAACATGCAAAAGGATACGAGGAGGAGTGAGTACCAAGAACACCGAAAGCACGAACACAAATCTCAGCAGTCGAAAACATCTGATCCCACCGGACAGCGGATCGGGATTCCGGCTTGGGTCTGCTGCCCTGCACCACCGGCCTTGCCAATGCCAGTGGAGCTTCCTGTTATCAATGCCACCTTCTGCTGCTCTGCGGCACCTCATTCCGTGTGACAGACAAATGTGCGTAGAGTAGGGAGCCGATAGCCGATTTAAGGTGCCGCCAAACGAAGAACACAACCAGATCGCAAGGCCGAGCTGCAAGGTGAGCTCGCAGGCCTTTTCAACACGAGCACACCAGTCCCAGCACCGAGCGCCAGGAGTGGCAGCAGGCCCTGGCCACGAACGGATAGCGGATAGCGTGCCTGGCTCTGCGAGTTTTCAAACACCCACCTGTCTTTGCGGAGGTGGCTGCAGCTTGACCAGCGCCGCGCAAGCTCTGCGATGAAAGCGCGCCCACATCTTTCCGACGACTAGCGTCACTTGAGCCAGGACGCTTGCAAACGAACTCACCTAAAAACAAGCGTGACAGCTGAACACATCTTGCCATCCGAGGAAGCTTGACGAAACTCCGACTCTTGAACGTTCCCTCTTGGGCTCCAGCTGGCAGCGAGCTCTTGCCACGCCTGTTGCAGCTTACTGAGTCTGGTTGAGGCAGTCTTCTCTGCTGCACTTCTTCCGGCATGCACAAACAGCCCTTGATCAACATGCGAAAGATCTGACTCTGACTTTTGACGGCGCTAGATTAAGTCACTCGATCAGGGAAGGCAGCGGCCGATGCAGCTTTACAAGCGCAATCGTTCATTCACCGCCGCGGGATCAGCGTGAGCCCCAGTGCCGTTGGGCAGGGGTGCAGTGAAACTCGACAGCTTGTCCGCTGCCTTTGCTTGCGTTGCACTGTGTCTCCGCAAGTGTAAACCCTCCGTGAGTCCGGGCTGTTGTTTCGGATCGTCCAGAACCCCGCTTCAGCTTGAGCATCCTGTCCAGTCAGGTGGAACTGGTTCTGAGCTTCGGAAGGGAGCTCGCGGTTCTTCCACGCAGAGCCTGCAGTGATTCTGGTCCAGGTCATGGATGAAACTCTTGCAACATTGAAAGCATTGTAGCGGGCCATCGCTGGAATTGGAGTCAGCGTCAACGGGTGCGGTCAGCCAGGATGGTCACATCGACACGTGGAATCATGGCTTTGATCATCCGCAGTTCCTCAGCAACGACACACTCTTCAAACGCATTCTGGCGAGATCCTGGTCATGGCTGAGATGCGTCCTCATGCCACCCTTGTGAGCCTTCCAGCGAGAGCCTTTTCAGCCGCGGCCGCTTCCTCAGTTGTAGTATCACTGGCTTGCAGGTGACAGGCTGTGAGCTCCAACGGCGCCAAAGCGCTCCAGGGTTTGCAAAGCCCGAAGAATCGCAACCTTTGCCCTGGGCCAGTCGATGCCGGTAATGCACAGATCCTGGCCGTGACCACTGGTGCTGGCCAGCTTTCAAACTCGGTTCAACTCCTCGAAGCTACTACAAGCATCACCTGTCTTCCAACTCGTGGTCTGGGCTCTCACTGCTTGAAACTTGACCCAGCCACGTGAAGATTTAAAGCTGAATTGCTGGAGCATTTCCGAATCACGACAGTATGTGCGGCAAGCACCTCTCGGGTTTATCGGGTTTATCGGGTTTACCGGGTTTATCGGGCTTATCGGGTTTATCGGGTTTATCGGGTTTATCGGGTTTATCGGGTTTATCGGTGCGCGTCCGCTGTTTGCGCGCGCAATGAGCACCTCCAGCACTTGGCACGTCTCGAGGATCAGGGACGTCACCTGCTAATCAAGGCAGGCTCGAAGGTCATCAACGGCTACATGCCCTTCACATGGTTACCTGCAACAGCCTTCAGGCAATGTGCCTCCATGACTGGAGGAGAGCCCAGGCAATCGTCGTACCAGAACTGCACTGTCAACCTCAGAAACGAATGCGCATGAGGGCTACTAGTACCTCGTTGGAATGCGAGAGTATGGCAAGTGCGGCAAGAGATACAGTTCCCTTAGAATTTTCTAACAAATTCCACGGTCTCCGGAATCGTCCCCTCAGAAGCAAACTGGGCACGCAAAGAAATTTCCACATAGAGATCTTACCGACGAGGAAGGACCTGGTTCTCCGGTCCAGTTTTCGCATGACAAAAGATTAATGAGATACTTACGTCTTACGTGGTCTACAAAAACTGAGAAATAACAAATCTTGTGGGATCTGTATGTGGTGCTGGATAAAACTATATTTAAAGAGTCGATGCCGTGACCGTGTAAAGAATTCTGGTGGCAAATCCCGAGAGGATTCCAACCCATCATGTCACACCAACAGGGTGCCAGCGACGGGTTTCCTGGGTCAGATGTTTATGTTTACAGCCACCGTATTGAGACCTGGTTCGCACGAGTCCGGACATCTAGACAAGACGGAAGCCCTAAGCCTGCGCATCCCAGTCCTAGCTTGTGAGGAATAGCCTCAACCTGTAGAGCTTGCCATGTGCGTATGTTTGCCGGATCTTCCACCCACGACAACACTGATCAAGAAACACGGACTTCTTCAGAAACCTCTGTGGAACTGCGACAGCCACTAGAAAGCATGGTGGTGAGCTCTCGCATGCGAGTGGCAGCCTGAGGGACAGCGCCCAGGTACTTAGCCACGCTGCTTCGATGCTCATCTCCGGGCCGAGCCACCTGACCAGGCCTAGCACTCCCGGGGGCTCTGACCGGTCAAAACCAAGCATGCCAAGCCGCCGCAGCTGCAACATTTCCACAGCACGGCAACACGCGGAAAGCCAGTTCAGATCCTTACTGGCTGATGATCGATCATGTCTGGGTCGGGGGGCGAACAATTCAAGCTGTGCACAACAGTCTTAGTACACAGGTCTTACTCGTGATTTTCGCCGCAGCTGAGCCTTGCTACACTAGAGCTTCTCAAGGTTCGCCCTTCACGCCATCCACTCGACCTGCCTCGTCTGTGCCTGGACGGCGCCCCACCCAACTTTTGCAGACAATTGACACCCGATTGCAGCACCATGCAATTGATGCTGAGGTAGCCTGACATCAGATATCATCAGATGCTGTGCTTGCTGGGCAGCAAATACTTGGAGACGAGCATCTGCCAAAGCCACTTTGCGAGAACATGTTGAAACCGAAACCGGTTCGCGAAAATCCGGCGACTCTGGATTGAAACACCTAGAATTCCAATGTTCTGGAGATATCGGACACCTCAATTGTTCAGACACCCAATGGTAGCAGGATGCTGCGTTCTTAGTATTATATTTGCAATACACTGCGGATTTGGCCGTTTGTGCTGCTTTTGCTCTTTCGCATTGCACCCGGTCTACCTGGAGCACCTGCCCATTTTCGGTTCTAGCCGGAGGTGGGTCAACCACCAGCAAATAAGAACCTTCCACCGTTGTTCGGTCCAGCTGAAAACGTGAAACCGACATGGAACCGTGAGGGGGTCCGGCGCAGGAAATGAAAACGGCCTTGCAGCAACACGTCTTCAAATGGCGCCTGGCCCCAATGCAGCCAATATCCCACATACTTGCAATGGTATGCGTCAGATAAACATCCCACCTTGTGTCCATTTACGACTCCCCCAGACTGTCAGTTACATCGTTACTTGAAGTTCCATTTGCCAGCCTCCCAAATTCATGCACGAGGACTGACTGGTTGACCACTGTGTGTCTGTGACGGGTGAATAATTGTTCTCCCGGAGCTAAATGTAATTCGTAGCAATTCAATACAAGTAATACTACAAGAAATTTGTGACATCAGTGGTATTGATTGTGTCTCGTACTCAGCCGTAGTACCTGGCAGCAACCGAAGCCCAGCAGCATTAGCAGCATATGTGAAAGAGCAGCAGCAGGAGTCTTCGTAGGAAGCAGTAGCGGTAGCAGTCGTTGTCCTCATCGTAATAGCAGCGATAGTATTGGATTAGTATGAGTACGAGCAGTCAACCCTCGAATTTTTGACACTCACACTCGGACTGGCCAGGCAAGGTCGGCAGCGATACTGGGTCAATCGTTAACTTACCCTTTCGGCAGATTCACCTAACAGGTCGCCGTCAAGACTGGCACCCACGCAAGCCAGCCACAACTAACAACGCATAGCCCATGACAGTTTGACCGCAGTCCCCTGCAGCCCCTCGAGCAGGATCAAACAGCCCTAACAACCTGCAGAAGAGCAAACAACCAACTCTAAGTTCCGTCCTGGGAGGGATCCGTGAAACAGCTGCCCTCCTACCCTCGCATGCGCTGAAAGGCTTCCAGGTACATCTCCCAATATCGAGGCGGAAGCCCACCTGAAATGCTTGTCAACCGTCTGTCCGAGTTGCGGCAGGCAGCACCAGAAATGCGCAGCCTCCGCCCCAGCGACAGGCGCGATGCCTCAGCCTCGCGCACTGAGGCTCTGTCCGGCTACTGGACTTGCATGCATTCGTTGTGTCTCATAAATTGTGTCGCTGTGTGTCGGACCATGGAAATCCGTCAAAGCATCCGTGCATCCGGGCTGCACCAGCGAATGTGCCCGAGGGCCAGAAGGTGATGTCTGCGGCCCTGCCTCGGGCAGCGTGGACCGCACGAGAATGACTTCTGCATGTCAGCTTCTCTTGTGTCAAGGCGATGTGCTGCTAGGGCACACCACAGATCGGCCAGCGCAACTGCATCCTTGTTCTGGACGCATGTCTGCGCGAAAGCAGCTAGCCTTTGCTGAGCCATCAGAGAAAGCAGTTTTGGGCCTGTACATGCACGAGCAAAACGAAACAATCCACAGAGTCCGAGCGTCGCTTGAATGCCAGACCTGCAGATCAGAGTTGAATGCTATGTCTCCAAGGAGGGCTCAGGGGAGCTTACAGTTGCAGGGTCCGATGCTGCTCAGTCGAAACGCTTACACGAACGTTTCCTTGCCTCACTCAATCGGTACAATCCAACTCCTGACAAAGCTTCAGCAAAGCAAGACTCCTTTGCCTGAGATATGGAATCAGCGAAGTTCCCGTGAAACCACACATATGAAACAAACCCGACGCACTGGTAATGTGCATGGATCTTGGGTAGCAAGCCTGCACCTGCGTGCATCGGCATGTGGAAACTCAGCCATGCAGGAAGTGGCGTCCGTGAGCAGTGCCCGTATCAGCTCCGCCGTCAGCTCTAGAGGGAAGCAGAACGACATTGCCGCTGCAGCCGGGTCAAGCGCTTGACAAAGCCGCAGCGCTGACTGGAACCCATCTTGTGCTGAGAGAGCCAGCACTGCAACTCTGGAAATACGACACCACTTCGATTGCAAGCGTTCAGTAGCGAACGTGGTGCCGGGAGCTGAGGCAAGAGCTGCTTGGAGCTCGAGGTGCTCCCTGCACCCTGCGGATACGCACTTGCCAGGATCAGCCACAAACAAAGCATTTCTGCATTGATGCGCTGCCTGCGCGAGCTGTAGCAAGCCGCTTGAAAGCTTGTCCTCCCATCCACTTCAACGGCATGCGGAGATGAGCGCCCCCAGCCAGCACCAAGCAAGAGTTGGGCTTCGCCTACGAAGTTTGACGGTGCCCGGCAGCCATCCACATCCACGCAAACGAAAACTTGCGCTTCAGAAGAGCCCTCGCAACCCCGTAGGTCTGTCCATGGCCAGTTCCGAAGAGACTGCGCACAGATCGTCGGAACCTGTCGTGGTCATGGGGAACACGGATGAGAGCGGACATCCTCAAAGTCAAAGGTACTATTAGATGGAAGTTCCAGCCAGTTTGCAAAGCCACCGCCTGCCATGCCTGCCGCGGCTCCCAGCGCGAAGGACTGAGCAAACGCGGTGAATGGCGGTGCACTACACCGAAAGAAGAAGGTTCATGCGTACTACTACCACGACCGTCGCCACAACAAACCTCGGAGAAAGTAATTAGAATGGGGCTTCGGGGCCCATTATACCATAATTGTAATAAGGAGCCCCCAAAATAATATAGGCATCAACTATCTCGGGGCCGTCGTCACCCACACAGGTTTGCCCGGACATGAGCTTGGTCGCCACATCGGGATGGCGAAAGCAGATTTTACTGACTTGCAAAAAGTTTGGAAGCACTCTTCACTTCCCGTTCATCGGAAGGTTCATATTTACAAAACTCTGGTTGAATCCAAACTGATGTATGGTCTGAGTTGCTTATGTCTTTCCGCAGCCGAACGTCGACGTCTGGCTGGTTTCCAAAACCGATGTCTACGTCGCATCACTGGCATCCCACGCTCTTTTGTCTCCCGTGTTCCGAAGACGGCTGTTTTACATCGGGCATGCTGCAGTGCCGCTTCTGACATGCTCGTGCAACGCCAGCTGCTTTTGTTTGGCAAGGTCTTAAGATCTCCACTGGACCACCCTTTGCACGTATCTGCATTCATACCTGGAACTCTTCAGCCTGCTACCAGCAGGTATGTGAGGCGAGTAGGTCGACCGAGACGGGAATGGGTTTCTGAAGTAAGCAGTAGAGTCTTTGATTATTTTGGCGGCCACCGTGAAGTAAACAGACTTGTACATGACTCCGCTGTCTGGTATCGAACAGTGCGTCAAGCCATATCAGTCCACGCGCCGCGCGGCGTATGACTGACTGACTGACTGACTGACTGCCTGACAAAATAATATAGGCAATTACTGAGGCTTTTATCTAGACCCATACAAGTGACCGTACGGGCCTCAGAGGCGAGCGCCGCGTCTGAGCCACTTGTGGTGTGTAGGAGGGCAAAGTGTCTCGCCTGAGTACTTGGCTACGAGGGCTCCCCTAAACCAGAAAGCCCTAAACCCGACAGTAAGGCCATAAAGTTTGGACATGGCATCTGATTCTGATTCTGGGCTCTCCACCAGGTGGTCCACGCGACCACCGACACAGACCATCGTCGGCTCCTTCTTGTCCAATGGGTACCTTCCGGCAAAAGCATCCGAGGCGCGGCTCCAAGTTCAGTAGCAAAGCTTGTGCTCAGGCTTGGGCATTTTCACGCTGAACACAAGCCCGGGTCCATACATGGTGTTCACAGGCATGTAGGGCTCAATTGAGATCGACCGCCACGTAGTTTGTGCCGAGATGACGGAATCCTTGGTGCAAGAAACCAGGCACGCCTTCTCACAGCATTGGCTCTCCGATGAGATCTCGGAAGGCGGCGAGAGCACGCAGAGATCTTAACACCTCACTGGCAAGGAGTTAGGATGCTTGACCTGCGACTCGCAATGTGTGCTCAAATTTCTGGATCAACTCGCACATCGAGGGCAACACCTCACTTAACTCCTCTGCCGCTGCAGCATATGGTTCGGCGGATGGCCTGCCTGGCCAATCCAAGACATCTTGCAGGGTCAGAAGACAGGGCTCCTTTCCCCGCCTGCCGACTGCACCTCGAGCAAGGGCATGTCATGCTTTCTACGATGCTCGGCTCAGCGAGCATGTCAAGGATCCCACCGTCTGAGAGCTGCTCGGTGAACCAAACGGGGCGCTGGAAACTGCCTCGGGCGCATGCGAACGTTACACATAAGCTCTCCGCGCCGTTGCCGTTGAAGCTTCTCCTTCGACCAGGCTGCATACAACTCCTCCACCTGGACTGGTACTTCACGTTCAAAAGCATCCCCGGGCTCTTCGGGGCGCACCCCTGCCTCGCTAAGGAAAGCAGACGGCGGTTTTGGAGCCTCCTGCGAGCCCGTCGCACCTGGAGACTAGGAAATCACCTAAAACCTCCTTCGCGACCTGCTCTGCAAGAAAGTCAAGGCAAAGAAAGAGCAACTGAGCAACTGAAGATTTTTGGCTCCCGCATGGCTGATCCGAAAAACGCATGGCAGGTGAAGATGCTATGGGCTTTGGGCAATGTTGGGGCACTTGCAGTGGGCACCTGCCAAGAGCGCCGCCAGTTCTCCGGCCGCTCGCTCGAGCGCAGCGTGGGGCACCGCTGGAGCTGTCGCCGAGGCCGAGTTCGAGTTCACCTCCAAGCAGACTGCAAGGCTAAGATCTTCTGAGGGCGCAGGTTGTAGCTGTCTTCAAGTCTCTCCGTGGCTGAAGGCAGGGGTGGCTTCTGCCCTCACACAAGTCTCTCCCACTGCGGCAAATTGTGCCATGCCATGTCCGTCGCCCGTGGCAATGTAAGCTTCCCACCAACGATGCATTCCCGCTGCTGCTGCCTCAGGTACACGAATGCGAGATGCCAAACATGCTCTGCAGCAAGCGCCACCCTCTGAGCCGAAAGGCCACTTTGGCTGCTGGAGTGTTTCTCTCCTGGGTCATGCACGCAAGAGCAAGTAGATCACCTGAGCTTGGTGCCTTCATGCGGGGGTGCCTGTGGCCATGACCTTCAGCGCCTGCCAAGCAGCACGGGACCTGGTTTCCCCGTCTTGCGTCGTCTCTGCCAAGGCCTCCAACAGCCGCGTGCGAAGTCGCTCTCCCGTGCCTCCAGGTCCAAAACGATAGCTCTGGGGACTGAGAGGCTTTTCAGCAAGGCTTGCCAGACTCGCGCCGACACTTGAAAGCCAAGTCCGTGGCTGGCCGCGCGGTCATCGAGCTGAGGCACCTCCGAAAGGAGAGCCGCTTGCTGCAACACATTCTCAAACTCCCCACGGCAGCGGCCCAAGAGTTGCATGACATGCACATTGTGCGCTCTGCGAAGTGCGTGCGTGAGCGCGTGGCAGAGGCGCCTTTCCGGCACCAGGCACTGCAGTCTTCTTGGCTGAACCTCAGGCCCACTCCCTTGTGCAGCCGCCCTCCACTCCAGTCTGCCAGCAAATGGTCTCAACGGCCTTTCAAGCTATCATAAGCTATCACATGGAGCACTGCGTTGAATGCAGTTTCGCCGTCATTTTCAACGAAACATAGACTTCACCATGCTCTAGCATGCTCTAGCGTCTGGGATCGCTGATGGTGCTCTTGGTCATCTACTGGCAAAGGCCCACGGCCGCCTGCTTTCATTGCAAACGGTGTATCCGAAGTCGAGGCAGCTGAGCTAGAAGCCGGTATGAACCTCTGGCACAGAGCAAGTGGGAGTGACCTAATGTTCGCTCTGACCTGTTCTCTCCCACAGCTAGTTCAAACTTCAAACTTCGTAATGCCATGTGGCCGTGCCTCCCGTGAAGCTCGGAGATATGCGACCTCGCGATACCAGCGGCTGCAAGCTCAGCTTACGTCGTTCACTCTCGCGATTTGTGCTTGGCGAGCCTCCTGGAGCAGTCGAAGGAGTCGCGTGTCGGATAAATGCAACGAGACTCTGCCTCTGACAGTGGACACGAGCCGTAGGTCCGCTCCGCTTCTCATTCTCATGGGTGGGTTGCCAGCGCCTGTCATGCTCGCGGAGTTGAAGAGCTCTGCCAGCATATGGAGGTGCTCGGCCTGGCAAACCGAGTTGGAAAAAACCTACGATGGCGCAGCAAGGCTGACAGGTTCTCATGCACTTCACTTGGTTTCATGCCAGCCAAGGGCATTCGCCCGAAAACGCTCCGGTCTAGGCCCCTCAAGTGGCTCACTTCCGGCCGGTGAGCTTCCTGCAAGCAACATGATCTTTTTTGCGACTGTTGTTGGCTTCAGATCGTGCCGCGCGTTATCTGATCCCTCCCTCCCGCTCCTCCACTTCCTTGCCAAAAAAAAAGCTTCATGCCAAATGCATGGGGCATGCAATCCCAAGGTGCAACACACATCAAGGCTGTCGCCGATGCAGCAGAGGCACTCCCACTCCCACTTCAACATCCACGGAGATTTCCAGCCAGGCAATTGCCAGGGACGAGGCTCCCGGACGTAGTTGCACTCGGGCAGTTGGTAGCCAATGATCTGCCAGAAGTCAGAGTGCCACACTCTACTGGGTTCTTGGTGTGGCATTCTATCATGGTGACTTCAATTAAAACCGTTACAAGAACCCAGGTCGGGCCGACTTTGAAAAACAATCACAGCCTTGGAACAGTCCAGCTTTTCTTGGAGCCTTAGACACGTTGTTTTGGCCAACGCGGCACCTTGTAGGCAGGCAAGAACCGATTCTGCGGATCCTCTTCGACTGATGGACGGGTGATGAGGCCCTTCTTCTCTGATCCGCGCAGAATCGCGCGGAACATGCGGTCCTGCGTTCAGCTGCAGGGCTCCACTCACGGCACACACACACACACACACACACACACACTAGCCAGAGTCGGAGGAGTGAACAAGCAGCTGGCTCTTTGCTGCACCAGAGTCCTTGCGCTTGGCCGCTGTGTTGCGATGCAGAACTCCTTGCACCGTGACTTCGTCAATCACTTCGCACGCCTCGTCGAGCATGTCCTGGAAAGGGTTTCTGCATCTTATTGCTCACACACCCGACAAGGACTCGAAAGCCAGTGGCCGTGCCTTGACCTCATCCATGACCTCTTGATGGCTGGCCGGCTGTTTGTCCCCTGACCGGTCGAAAAGGAAGCTGACACACCCCCTGCTAGGCTGCTAGAACTGAAGATCTCTGCACCTTCTCCATACACCCAGGCACACAAAACAAATCCGACAAAAAGTGTCCTTAGGAGCACAACAGCAGCCGAGCTGCCATATTCCAACTCGACCGTATAACGAAGCACCTTCTTCATGGCTTTCTTGTACTTGTTCCTGACGTCGGTATGATACCGCTGCAGCACAAGTTGACATGCGAGATCACCAATTTGGAGTTTGGAGACCAGTCAACTTCGAGAGACTTGACACACATGTCTCAAGACAGGAGCAGCCAAGATCGTACAAGCGGCTTCATGAAGATGTTGTATGCACGGTTGCGAAGATTGCGACGCGCGCGGTCTTCATAATACCTCCATCGACGGAAGTAGAGCGTGTAGCAGCTGTAGAGGCTGCGCCGTGCCACCTTTGACCGAGATGAGGTAACCTGGTCAACTGCTGTGGCACCAGCAAAAGCAGGAGCAGCCACCGGGTCCTGCAGATGCTAGACACCGCAGCTTTTGTCATACGTCAACTCTCAGTGCCTCAATACTCAAGGCCGGAGCACGGTGGCTTTCAAGCATCCCTCTCCTGCGGGGCAATCGCCGTGACGTGGCACGGTGCTGGCTGTTTGTCCTGCGTACGCCTGAACACGCGGCACGTGCTTGCTGCTAGGCACGCAGCAACCAGCAGCACCGTTTGGCTGCCCCCGGAGCTAAAGCTTTGAAAGCTGCGTTGTGTCGACGAGGACCAGGCCGGGCCACGCTGCCCCACTCGACCGGTGCTGGGACTGCTGACGCCGCTCGGGCTAGGAGAAAGGAAGCCTGGCGCAAAGAAAAGCCCTGAAGCGAGGAGGAGACCGGCCGGCCATAAGGCCGAGGTCCGTGGACCCATTGCTCCCTCAATGCGAGTAGCTACTCAGCTTTTAAGCCAGCAGCTCCGAACAGCGAAATCACCTTTGCGTCACTGTCAGACACCCCACGAGACCGCGCAACAACACAGCATGAAGGCTTCAGTGAGTCAGGACGGAGCCAGGACTGTTCCACTCTGCCAGCGAAGAGATCACTGTCTGACGAAAAGAAAGCGGGTGCGTTCTCGCTGTGCCTCCTGCAAGACGGACATGTTCCTTTGGATCGTCCTGCATGAGGGCTGCCAGGCTGCCACTTTGAAATGTGCAGCTGTGGTTGACAGGAAGCCGACGACAGGAAGCTATGCACAATTCGTGACTAGCTGCTCATCTAGCAGTGTTCCATGGACCTGGACCCACCCGCCCCCTCTTGCTGCCCTGCCTGGATATTGCGTGACCTGGGATTGAAGCAGTTCTCAGTCAACACTTGGCAACAGGTGCTGCAGCTGGCATCTCCCAGCAGTATCCCCAATGTGCTAAAGATTGGCATTCACAACCGCATCATGCAGCAGCACACTTTTTGCACTTCGAACAACCGTCTGATTGACGCCGTCAAGAAGCTATTGTTGCACTCTGCAGATTGTCAAGTTCGGTCTACCTGCGCTCCTTTCATCGACGCTTCCGGCGTTACGTGTCGCCATTTCCATCCGTGACGTAGAATGGCGCGAGCTCCGTGGCATGCAGCCACTGTTGCGCTTCAGCAGCTCTGCTCGAGATTGGTAATCCTCACACACACTCTCTGGGTAGACCGCGGTGGCAAATGCCAGGGTCCACGACGGCTCACGCACCATCTTCAGCTCAAAGCTCTGACTCCGCAGACTTCTGCCGCTTCTTCTCCTGCCAGAACAACACGCAGCACATCTGTAGCCAACAATAAGGATACTGAACTTTTTCTTTCTTGCAAACCGGAAAGCCTAGAAAATGTCCAGCAAGAAAGCAATTCGGAAAGTGTGGTTCGTTTGAGGACGCTAGCGCAATTCAGCATGAGAGTCCTGACTAGACTTGACCGCAGATCAAGGTAGAGGTCGGCACATGGCACAGTTCTTAATCCAATTTTCGAACGTTGGGAATGGCGACAAGGTCGAGAAGAGGAAACACGCAGAGTCAACCGGGAGAAACTTGCCAAACGGGCTGTCCACAGAGACATCTTTGACATACATACATACATATATACCTACATATACACACACACCCACCCCAGCATCTTCAGCTTGGGAGGAGGGAAGAAGATCTTCATCAGCAACGAAACGAAGCCGCCCAACCCTGCCACACTAAAAATGCTGTGCCAGGTGTCATGCTTCGCGCGCTTCTTCTTGATGATCGCCTGAAGACCATTCGGCATTCAGAGAAAAAACGCCGCTCTGCGCATGCGAGGCCTCCAACTCTACGCTTGCCGGCTGTGGCATGCTTGTCAGATATACTCAAACCGCAAAGTTCCGGTAAACTGCAGGAGAGCTTCTTTCGTGCGGCTTTCGTCCACCAGCTTTATCTCGCCCAGGTGCAGGTCGTCTTCCAGGGGGGTGCCTCGACCGACCCGCTTTCGATGTCCCCGTAACCATCAAAGCACGAGCCCGCTTGCATTCTGGCAAAGGTGCATTTCGCATCCTTCACTGCCTCGCTTTTGAACCTCAAGGGGTATGCTGCTGCCTGGCTGGGATCTACAGCTGTGGACAAATGTGACAAAGACCTGGCAAGCAAAGCGGCGCATCGAACGAAGGCAGATCCTTCGTGCCAAACCTTGTTGCATCATACCTGATGGTTGCAACCCCGGCCACGCCGGACGATCGCGCTCGCTAGACTCGGCAGACGGCGCGGTCTCTGGTGCAAAGCTTGAAAAGGCCTCTTCAAGTCCCACCATCGCCAATCCTCCGCATGGCTCCACCTAAGAAATCATCTCCAAGTGGAACATACGCACATCCCATGCGGAAACAACTGTAATTTGACAAACGCTCCACATGGTGATAGTCTTCCAGCCAAGCTTCCAAATGTTTACCCCCAAGTTTCTGCCGCGCGAGTTCACCTGCGCACAATGTAATACTATGATTCGTAGGGACTGCTGCAGTATTCTTGCCACTATATCCTGTATCCTGCTGACTTGGAGTCTACAGTCTACAGCGTGCCAACAATACTGCTCCATCGCAGTCTCGCCCCAGTCCCAGCGGCGAGGTCGCCGGAGCATTGCACATCGATTCTGCCGGTTCGGCCGATTGGGAGGACATGGACGGTGGACAAAAATCCCACGACGATGTGGGCAAAGCCCGGTGGCTGTTCTAGACGAGGTCCGGCTTGACTGGTCTGTTTCTGTCCGTGTCTCGGCCGGAATTGCTCGTTGGCAGCATGGTGCTCCGGGCTTCTGCCTGGATCCTTCCCTTGTCCTAGTGGCTGCACAGGTTGGTTACGTCGGTCACTCTCGTGATTGCCTGTTGATGGCGTGCTTCTGGGTTGCTGTTTTGCTCAGGGACTCGATCGATGTGCCGGTCGGCATCTTTGCGACACACCAGTCGGTGACCGATGACCTGCCTGCTGGTATTTGACAGTGACATTCATCTGCCCAGTGCTGTCCCTGTTGTGCGTAGAAGCTGGCTTTAAGCAACCCAAATTGGCACGACGGCTGTGTCGGTCTGTGATTGTCCGTTCCCGCACGACGTGAACGGCAGAGTGGCACAAGTACAATCATCAGGAGCTCAAGAACACCTCCTTGACAAAAACACACAGGCATACACGTGCGTCTGTATGTGTAAGTGCAATCGTCTCTGTTGGATCCTCCCTGCCTGGTGCCAGTAGGTATGCGGGATGAAAAGTGTATCCCCAGGTCCCATGTCGCCATGCAGCCAGGTAATGTTGGCAAACCGTGGGAAATTTTCCAGATCCACGGCATCCTTGCGAGCGACTTATGACTAGGACTGCTGCGGCTCGCTGCACAACTCACAAGTGTCCTGGCGGACGGGGGACGTCCCTCGCACCTGGCAGGTGACTAAAGCGCTGCTATAAGCAGTAGCTCCACGCGTGGCAAACATGTGTGGCAAACATGATGCTTTCGTGCTGCGCCTTGGCCACATGCGCGTACATGTTAGGAGCTTCATCCTGGTGTACGAGCATGACCTTGCTGCCGTGCATGGCGCAATTCACGTCCCAAAAGGGATGGGGTCTCTGCCAAAACTACTGCCCAGAGGAACATTAAGACCAGATAAGCCCGGTGGCACTCTTGTAGCCGTCCAGCAGCATCAGAAAGTTCTCGCCGTCATCATTGTGCAGAACCTTGGGGGTAGTCTGTCTCAATGCTTGAGCTTCCATTCAAGCTTCGAGCACCTGGGAGCCATGCCGACATAGTGCCACCGCTGCTCATCCAAAGCGTGACAGACTGAGGCCATACCTGTGACTTGGGACAGGGTCAGAAAGACTCGGCGGTATCTTTTGCTCTGGACCGCCTGCAGAAAAAAGTTTCGTCCCACATGAAGCACATTGCAGCTGCAAAGTTGTTGTTTTCCGACCCATTCTACATGATGCATCATTCGACTGCTACTGTAAGCAACGCGTGATTCGTCATCTGAATCACCCTAGCCAGAATACCAGAAGCCCCGGCATTGCCTGGAATGGCCGAGAAAAGGAAAATAGGGTTCAATACAGCTTCCACTCCCACTCTTGGGCAAAAAGAAACTCCATCTTTTGAGGTCCCTTACCCTAAATAGTAGGATCCTTAGTATACGGACCCCAAAATATGGGTACGAGCACCCGCAACTATCGGAAACCCCCTTTTGGGCCCCACCTCTTTGCATCTCGCCGGTTGCGGCAGGTCCAAGTCCGCCAACGCTTCGTCCTCCTCCAAGCCGATCACCGCCTTAGAAGGAGATAGGAGCCCCAGAAAGAGGGGGACACTCCAGAGGAGGTGACCTGGGTGGTCTTAAAGATATTATGGAGTACAAAACATCTTGGGTAAACATCTTGGGGGAAAAGAATGTGATCTTTAGCACTAAACTCCGCAGCTGCTTGCTGCTGCCTAAGGAACATAAAGCTGGTCTTCTCGATCTGCCTTGACAGCTAAGCAACACTGGCGCTCTGCCGCTTTCCGAGCCCTTGCGTGCATGACGACCGCTGCACCTCATAGATCTCCTTGACGAACTTATCGAAGGGCCACTGGACGGTTGGCCCACCTCGCTCTTCCACCTCGTGCCCACACAAGCACTCATACAATAGTCAGGAAGTATGCTTCCAATGGTTCCCCACAACTCAACACCGCGCGCCACCATGCTTTGGAACTCTCCAGCCCAACGCACTCCCAACTCCAAGGGCTCCGGAGCACACTAACCTCCAAAGGCTGCAGAGCACAACATGTCACAAAGCTCTCCACGGCACCTTTTTCATCTCAATGTCGATGACTTTGTCCTGCCCCCATAGATCGACAAGGTAGTCATCCGTCCACTTGTCAAATGCCCTCCTGCAGCACATGTGCCGCTGGTCACATGCAGGTCAAGAAAGCAGCATCATGTGTAATTACGCCGGGGAGCTGGGCTCGAGCAGCATTTCGAAGCACAACCGGTCCTGGAAGCATCGAATGTCACGAAGAAAACCCGCATCAGCTGCTCAACATAATGACAGAATGATCCCAGATAGATCAAAATGCAGCTGGCCCACGGTTTACTCGGACATAGTTTTGGTAGAAGGTTTGCCAGTCTGGAACCTCTGTAAGAACCTCGATGGGCTTCTTCAACCCCAGCTCCTGCCAGGCATGCGCCAGGTGGGCAAGATACTGCCTCATCCAACATATGAGCTGGGCTCTGTGTACCGTGCACCCTGCAAGTCCTGCATGGGTTTGCCATGACCGGGCAGGTCTTTACTCCCACCTCCATAATCAGTCGCTCCTCTGGCACGCTCAAGTTCAGGATACTGCTGGCATGAATTTCCAGTCTTGCCAAGATGTGGCATGCTGAGACGGGGTGTTACATCACGCAGCCGTCTCCTGCCACTACCTTCGCTGCTCCAACACCATCGCACACAAGCACAACTTCCACCCATATGCTGGGTCAAAACGTGTCTGTGACTGCATCAGGGCACCGTTGCTGGCGGCGACTTGCCCTCACTAAGCCCGAAAGCGACCTTGCAACACGCAAGTAGTGTACAAGGCTCGGGTTGGCTCCGGGCAATACAAACATATGGTCATGCTACATCTACCCCTACAGAAATGCACAAGCACTGACAAACACTGCCGACAGGTTTTGTTTGTACTTGGCCGCACGCCCCGAGCAGCACCACGATGGATCCGGGAGAAGACATGAATCGTAACACAGCGTACGTCATACGAATGAGTTTTCGCTGAATGCTTTGCAAGCTGCTGGCAGGTGCTGATGCAACTGGGATCGTGCTTGCGCCCTAGACTAGCTTGCAATGTTTGCGTTGTGCGCTGCTGGTGCAGGGTCCTGGCATCGCTGATGCTGTCAAAATGCGTCTGCAACCAGGCAAGCAAGAGCACTAGCTTAGCAGCCTCTTCATGCTCAAGGCAAACGGTTTCCACGCAGTAGGCTGGCAGCGAGACGTCGGTGAGGTACCAAAGGGCTCCTGAAAAGGAGTTGCACATGCCCGGCTTGGGGAGTCCGCGAGCGACATTCATCAAAAGTCCTGGTCTGCTTCCAGAGCTAGATTTGGATGCCTGGCGCGGTCAACCCTTTGACCACGGAAGTCTTCAATTCAAAACACGCCGGCGCCTGCGATCGTAGGCACCGCCTACACCAGACCCCTTCCTCTCCCCTTCAGAAAACGGTCCGAAGCTCGCCGGCACCACCACAGGAACTGAACCACAGCAGACGAAACTTCACGGGGATGCCCAAACCTAGGTCATGGCACGAAACCATCATGCGCCAGGCAGCGAGTCTATCGGTCTTGTCAGCAAATCAGTCTGAGTTCCATGCTGTGCACCTCTGCATTCCTACTTACTCAAGTTTTAATTGGTGTTACCAACCGAATTTTTACACAAGGGGCAGACCATCGATCGACTCTTATCAGTAGAAGAGCAGCACTAAACCAGAAAGACGATTTCGATAGAACGTGGCGGCAGCAGCAATACTGGTAGCACTAACTATTGCAACCCCTGCCGTGGAAAGACAGGCATTACACTTATGGCTGCCACCACCCTTACAAAACAGGGAGACGATGCACCTCGATCTCTTACTTTTTCGATTTGAAGAACAATATTTATCAACATTTTTTCGGCTGATGTCCTCAATGGAAGTCACTGAAGATGATCTTAACATGTTCACGCTCAGCTAGTGTTCTGCATGCAAGGGCCTTCTGCAGTATGAGTGGCATCTGAAAGCTGAGTTTGCAGCTGGGATTGTGCATACAGCTCTGAGCTGGGGGCCTCGAGCAAGGACCACACTCATAGCTTACACTTTAATATCCATATCTGCCTTGTTGTTTTCATGAACAACTGCTTTCGCCGCGTCCAACGACTGTACATTGCTTCCCTGACCTCGCGGTAGACGGTGCCAACGTGATATCGACGGAGCTGCTGGGACATCGCCTTGACTAGATGAAAGAGCGCCAGCGACCCTCAATGAAGCACATGCTACTGTAATCTACATGCGTTACGATCACCAGATCAGGCATCAGAAGCACCCCAAGGCTGATGCTCCCAAGACTCCGTGCCATCTCTTACCAGGCGTCCGGCTGCCAAAGGCTCCGTGTCCTCCAGGCTTCTTGCAAAAGAAATACGTAGGGGTCACCAAGCCGATAACCTGAAAGCTCTGTGCTGCAAGCCCGCCTCGACATTGCCCTGAGCTCTCCTAGAGCCATGCAGCGCAGCCAAAGCCCGAATGAACGGCTCGGTCCTCAGAAATATTCATGATCAGATAACTCCTGTGAGCGTGCTTTTCAGTCATGATCTGAAGGGCCGTCACGCACAATGCCTATGCCGGGGCCCGAAGGTGTGCAAACTAGTGCGGACCTATTACAAGAAGACAAAATTATGACGATGGTACTCCTAGGTTTTCAACACGTGGTGATGATGCCTACCTTCAGTATGCTGTGTGGCGCGAACGTCGCCATCGTTATTATCGTCATTGCATGACAAAGGTGACGAGTACACTGGTGCACATTTCTTCGTCCTTTCTAGGGCTATGGTGGGCATGCAAGCGCATGTGATGCTGATGATGCTGATGGCGACAGCGAAGGCTGACGTGGGCGATAATCATAACCATGATTATGCCGGTTAGCTATGATTATCGTGGTTGGCAGCCGGGTTTTGCTGACTATAGACTATAGCTGTACTGCCCTGTCTATTCTGCATCGACATCATGTGCTAGTGTCGGCGTGACTACAACTTCGACGAAGATCACAGTTCTCTTGACGATATTTTTGCTCTTTCTGTAGGGACGTTCATTGACGACAAATTTTGCAAGATTAATCACGACTTTGTCGGAGTGCAATTTTGTGTGCAATGCTGCCACGATGGCCGTGGCCCGCAAATGGTGACAGTGAGCAGAAACAACATTTTCATTCACACGCAGCGGGGGAGGACTGTCTGTGGTGAAACTTATCGTCCACGCTTTGCGAGGGATCGACCTAGTGCCCTGCTTACTACTTGCGCGGTCACTCTTCACGGCAAGCCGTGCCTCAACACAGCACTTGCACACGCTCCGCCCCTCAAGGCTGCAAGCTGTGAAGTGGGAAGGGAATGTGTCTTCAGAGTCTTATGCGAGTTAAGATTTCGGCACTAGCTGAAAGCTAACCGGCTTGGTTGCAGTGTATCTCTGGCTGATTGGCAGCAGAACATTTTGCACTCAGCTGCTGTCGCGAAGGAGTACTCTAGACTCGGTGTGATGGCTCAGTGCGAACCACAAGCTCTATGTTGTAGAAGAGGCGATGAGGCAGTGAGATGCTCAGTAGAGGTATGCCAGGCGCCCTCTCCAACTCGTTGTTGGTGTTCGCTGATGGCGGAGTAACTCCTGCTGGACCAGTGCTCGTGACATAGAGTTCTCCAGTTCCCGGATGGGAGATCGTGGAGGTCACAGCTTTTGGTGGGGGTCCCAGGGGAGGGACTCCTCCTGGGATTCCACCTTTGACTGGAGCTCCAGATGCCTTACCTGTTCCTCCTCGTGCCAGATCCGTGCTGGATCCACTTCCCGACAGATTGACAGGTACCGGCGGCGGCGGGCCCTTAGGAGCATCAGCCTTGGGTGCCACTGCTTCTTCTGAGTCTGACTCCCGGATAGCATCACTGGAAGGCGGCGACCTGGGTAGGTGAGGACGACGTCTCACTGGTGGAGGGGTGCGAGAGTTCGCTCTGGTGCCACTTTTCTTAGGAGTTTCGGGCATGACTACTGGAATCAAAACAGCTGGTGAGTTGAGCCTGTGTCAGACATGCATAAGTTGCGTTTTTTGTGATCCTTTGGCTGGCAGTTCACTTGCAGGGACTGGGCCCGAGGCTCTGCATCGAATTGTGGATCTGACCTCGGGATACTTGGTTGCTGGCAGGTCATGCATGCTGAGTTAACCCTTAACCTAGACTCTGATTTTTGATCTGAGCGGCTGCAATGTCTGCTTGGGGAGCGACTCCACCATTTGGCGGGGCTCTCTTTCTGGTGTCAGAGCGGCCTATTGTTGCCTCCGTACTTAGTGCCTGATTTCAGACTCTGATAGTACTCTATGACAGAAGGAGGCACTTCGTTTGGAGTGAGAATCACGCCGTTCTTGCTACGGAAAAACTTCACCCCTGCCTGTGAGGCCTTGCGAGGGTTTACCGCCACCAGCATGGAGGAGTTCTCTCTGAAGCCGGAGACACCTGGTTGCCCATAATCGCTGTCCGCCACGAAATGGATATGATGCCGTCCCTCCCTGCCACGTCCTCCTTTGCCGCGGCCCTTGGAGATCTTGTTTTGTGGCAGAAGGCCTTGTTGACGTATTGGGTCGTACAAGGACCAGTAGGTGCCGTGATAGAGCTTTCCGGGGAGCATCTCCTCCGTGAGTTCGTCTAGCACCTCTGACGAATTCACGTCCGAGCGAGAATGTCCTTGCAGTGCCCTGATGTACTTCGTGCCTTGGCAGTCTCCCAACTCGTACCGGCCTTTGGTGTTACGACGAACAATCTCCATGAGGTCGCCTGCCGTGGCATTCTGGTTCTGCACTCTTGGCCATGAAACCACGTCCTCAAGCTTGGCCCACCCTGCCGAAGTGACATTGATGTACGGTCTATGTCCGTGTCTGAGGCATGCTGCCAGAGCTTTGGATACTTCAAACGAGAAGCGGGTCTCTGGATCCATTGAGGCTGTGCAGTAGTCTCCTAGATCGCCTGGTTCACCCTCCCATGCCACAATGGAGGAGCTCCTTGGTGTGGCTGTGCTGTTGTCAGTGATCTCTACGATTCCAGTCGGGGGAGGAACTCCACCCTTTGACCCTGACGCTGGCTCTGGAGCTGGAAGGGGAGGAACTCCTCCTTCCTTTCCTCGATCTGACGAGGTCGCTTCGCTAGGCAAATCATATCCCAGAGCTGTGAAGGAGTCGCGAGCCTGTCGAAGTGGAATCTCAAGCATTCCGCTCCACTCGCGGAGGTACTCGCCTAAGGAGAGAGTCTCCTTTGTTGAGATTTGGAGCAGCAGCGCTCGAATTTTCACTGCATCAAAGGAGTATATTTGTTGATTTGTTTTCTTGCCACGTTTTTGCGATCCAGAGTGTGCAGCTTCCGCCTCGATCATGGGCCGAGCGAATATGTGGCGAGGCCCAATCCTCACCAGGCAGCTGTATCCGGCCGCGAGATGTCTGTTTGAAAGCCTGTGAAGATACACTCCTGGACGGTCCTCGAAGCTTCTTGTGCCTGAGAGATCCGGCGTCGAAGGTAGAAGTCTTCCTGTGGCTAGTATCCCATGCAAACATTCCAGGTGTGTGCCGTGGAACGCAACCTCGCTGTCTCCGGCTGGGAGTATGTTTGGAGAAGAGTACTCAAATCTAAACCATCCATTATCCTCCGCTGTTGGGAAACCAAGCTTCGACTGCAGGGATTCATTGGCCAGGCCCCGGCGGGAAGCTAAGAAGGTCTCGAGAAGGGCATTGGCGATCTCAGGGGTAGGTTTCTCCGCCTGATCGAGGCCATCTCGGAGTTGCTGGGTCACTGTCACCATGATTCTGTGGTTGTTCAGGTCGGTGATGGAACCGTCGCAGGCTGTGACCAGGCTGGGAAAAGGAGTATACCCCGCACACTGAAGTACTTTGATGGCCGCTTCATTTCGTTCATCGGTGGTCTGTTGTGAAGAGAGGTCGCCAGAGGGAGGATCTCCACTCTTGGCCTTTGCTGCAGGGGGAGTATCTCCACCCTCGCTTTGCCCAGTGCTTCTCTTTTTGGAAGGAGGAGGAGGGGGAGTGACTCCACCCTTTCCACTTCCCGGCTCTTCCGATCCACCAGTGCCTTTTGAGGCTCCTTTATGTGCTGGATAACTTTCGCCGTGAGCACGAGCAGAGCGCCTCCACTGGCGCAAAAAAATTCGATATGTGACATACGGAAGTTGATGACGTGTCCGTCGCTCGCAGAATTCCGCATACTCATCCTGAAACGTGGGATCTTGAGTTGACTCTGGTCGTGACATGTTGCTGGCTTTTGAGAGAAACCTGCGGTGTGATGTCACAAGCTGAATTCAGGCATTTGACAGGTGATGAGCCATCTGAGCCATCTGAGCACCAGGCCACCACAACGAGGGACCTGCATCAGTGGTGGTGTTTTGATAATGACGCCGAGTTCCACTTGGCAGATGATGGGACATTTTTGTCTGCAATCCTCAGAGCTGTTAAAAACCCCTGGGGAGAAACTCCACCAAGCGAGGGGAGAATCTCCACCTGTTACTCTCCTGCTGTTAAAAACCCCTGGGGAGGAACTCCACCAGCTGTACACACATGGCGAGGGGAGAAACTCCTCCCAATTGGGGAGTGTCTCCTCCTAAGGGAGCATCTCCGCATGGCGTCTGGCTCAGGAAGAGGCTGCCATGAGACGATTGTACGACACATCCCACACCGATGTAGCCAAATTCAATTTGCGATCTTCGGCGAAGAACGTGGCCCTCAGAGCCTCCACCTCCTCCAGGTAAACTGTTCTGGTGTCGATCGGTAAGAATTTACTCACGTATGAGACTATGTGAGTCTCTCTCTCCAGGGAGTCGAGGTCGAATCTGTGTAGGGAGATGCTTTCTGGGGCCACCAGTTCCCCAGAGTTGATGCGAGCCAGGGTAAGATATTCTAAGCCCTGCTCGGTCAGGACTTTTCGCCGTCGATACCTGATCTGCCCCCACTCGTCGATGCCAGAGATGACATGCAAGTGCTTGATCACCTGCCGGACCCCACTTTCCGGGAGTAACTCCACGGAAAGATTTAGGATCTCATCCTTAGTGGTGGGCCCGGGCGCCTTCACTCTCTCTCGCAGCTCTGTGAGCACCGCCCAGGGGAGTACCTCCAAACCTAGGGACTTCTGGTGCAGATAGTGGACGGCTGCTATCGTCGGAAGCAACATCATAGCCAAGTGAGTCGGCGTCTGGTCATACATGTTGGGAGAAGGAGGGAATGCACTGCCGAACCTGAAGGTTTCTGAGCCTGAACGCTTTGTCCAAAAGAGGAACGTCTGTGTTGCTCTACCAAAAATCCCTACAGCATGCAAGGTCTTCTGCGGGAGGGCCTCCTCGCAGATCGTCGGTGATGCCGCAGGCTCCTCGCAATTGTGCACTGGGTGGGAGTAGCTCCTCTACTAAGAGGGTTACTTTTCGACTTAGCTCTTAGCACCAGGCCGGCCCGCTCGTGGGGCAAACCCGATCAGTGACCTATTCCTCCGGAAGAGATCAGGAGAGCAAATCGC